ACAACAAGACGAAATGGACATCCTTCAAGCCTTTCCGCCGCCTAGAGGCGAAGTCAGAGAGGATGATGAACCAACCGCGTTAGCACAAATTGAACATGCTTATGAATTGGTGGATTTGGTCAATGTATGCCTGCAACAACGAAGAAATGGCGGTCGTGGTTCCGTCTCTTCCCAACGAACTGGAAATTCTTTTATGACCACTCAATCATTACAGCAACTTGAGGAACAGCCTGAACTATATGCTCTTCCACCACAATCACCAGTTGAGGAATATGGTTGTTCACTGTGCCACACTGGACCAACACACAAGCCAAGCCGTTGTCCAATGTTCAACAACCGCAACAGACGCAAAGCCCGTCTTCTGGAACAGGGCCGGTGCCTCAACTGCTTATACGATGGTCACATGCTCAACAAATGCCGTGCTGCCAATAAATGCCGTAGATGTGGAGGCCGACACCACTTCATGCTGTGTACACAACGTCAACCGAAAAAGCGTGTGTACTACCCAAATGGTCACCACGATGGACCGTCTAAAGCCAATTGGAGACAAACTCAACCCAGAAAGTGTGTGTACTACCCAACTGGCCACCACAAAGGACCATCTGAAGCAAATTGGAGAGTTCCTACACCATCGCAGCCTGAAGTGACCTACTCTGGAATGGTCATCAATAGCTCAACCAATGTCAAGTCAGAAGCTGACACCAAGTCGTCAACTAGCTCAACCAACCGTCATCGTCGACGCAGAGTCTGGATTAACTCAAAGCTAAAGACCAACCGGCGCAATCCAGCCGACGTGAAAGTAACTCCACAAGGCGAGAAAGCAATTGTTGACAATACCACAGCAGCAACCAAAAGTATATATAGCTCAATGGTAGCATCTAGATGTCTTTTTGGCTCTGTTAAATGGAAACGGCGTCCTGACCAGAATTGGACTCTTCGCAACAGTAAAGTGAGACTAGGATTTGACTGTTTGTTGGCTGTCCTCACGTGCTTATGGCTCATCAACAGAATGTACGCCGGCTCCACTGCCCTCTTCAAATGCTCATCTATGCATTTTCTGTTGATGCTGGCCCTTCTACTGCTTGTTGGTATTGCCTGTTGGTGTAAACAAATTGTACGAAATGCTCAACGAAAGCCATTGCAATCATCAATGACCTCAAAGGATGGAACCTTCGCAGCTGCCACAAATCAAACGTCAACGAGCTTTTCTAACGCTGGCAAATTTTTGTGTGTTACCCAAGCTGGGACTACCGCGGCTGTCACGTGTGGAATTACCGCGGGTGCTACTGAAGGAATTACCAAGTCTGCTACTGAACAAATAACTAGAAATTGTTCTACCGTTACAAAAATGAATTTGTGTGCTACCCAAACGGGAACTACCCGAGCTGCCGCAACCAAAACAAATTTACTATCTGAGTGCGCATCACGACATCGACCATGGAAAAGTTGTTCATCACGACAAGGACGACAACGAGAAAGCCAGGTAGTGGAGTGCCGCCCCTCACCAAAAGCTCTTGAAAGGGGAACAAGCGAAAGTGCACTCCACGACCATCATCACTGCTCTGGACAATCAAATGCGCCTATTCAACGTCCTGTCAACTTGTCATCGGCACTGACTCGACACCCCACTGGCTCATTGGCCCTGATAGATGACTGATGAAAAGACAGATGACGATGAAGAATATTTGTGATTTGTTGGGCGGGGGGAGTGTCGCCAAACATTGGCGACTTTTTTGTTGAATTATCTTTTCGGGTAATTGTCCCCCATTTACTTTTCGTTAATTTTTTAGCCGTTCACCCCGTATTTTTTGTTGTCCACTCAACTTTTTTCCCGCCAAAATTCCTTTGTCTAATTTTTTTGTGACAGCTTGCGCCTGTCACAACTTAAATTTTTCCTATTGTTTTTTCTACTTGTTTTCTCTGCCCCGTTCTCTCTTCACATTTTTGTTTTCTATAATCTATGTACGCATTAATTTCAAGTTTGCATTTTTTTGAGTTTTTATTGCCAAACCCCGCCTTTTTTGTGTCTATTTAAGAAGCAGATCAGCCCCACAAATATGCTCACTTCTCATCCATTAACTGCTTCCAACAACTCCTGTGTGGCTGATCAACTGCTTCTGGCCCTAGCTGGCCTTACTTGTTTGTGTTCAATTATCCTTGCCCTAGCTGGCACTCTGCTTCAATTGTTTATTTTTTTTGGTGTGTTTGAAAATAAATTTATTTGTTGGTGGACTTGTGTGTTTTTTGGTGTATTTTAAAGTGAACGTGCTCCGTTCACTTCTGCTTCCTTGGTGAACGGCACTACCGTTCACCACTACTCCTTGGCTTAAGTGACTCGTGCTCCGAGTCACTCACTGCTCTTCTTCTTCCTCCTTCGACTGTGTTGGCACTACCAACACAGTCTGGTGCTAGTGCCACATTTCACTAGCTGGTGCCACGACTCTTTTCTCCAAATCCAATTTGTCGGGACCTCCCGACTCCCGACAGTGTTCGAAAGAAGGGAGACCCTCGTTATTTTAAATGTTTTTTAACCAATGTCGGCTATTAAGAGCCGACACCAAGAGCCTATTATTTATAAGGAAAATGAGGGTTGAGTAAAGTAATCCAAGATTCAGGATTTCACTACGAGTCTATGACCGATAAAACCCAAGAAACCCAATATAAAACTACGTATCTTGTACAGATTTGAATTGTTGAACAGAATGTTTAGGAGATTTGTAAATATAGTGCTTACAGCATGGAATTTTAGCATTACAAAACAAAATTAAAAATTTAGATCATCTAATATTTTATGCAAAAATACTTTACATTTACAGCTTCATAATCCTTAATTGTTCAGCTAGACGATTTTTTGGGTCTAGAATTTAATAAAAATACGTCAGATAATTTAAGCTAAATAAATTAGTTAAACTTTTTAATCAAGAATTCCCTAAACAAAAATTAAAAAAGTGAACTGAGTCGACTTTGAATACCCTAAGAAAATGGTAATAATTCAAGAAAATCATTCACATTCTAAAAAATTTTCTAGGATTATTACGAATTTTTTTTGTCACACTTTGAATGCTACATGGTTTATTTTAAATTTTTAGTTTACCATCTCAAGATTATCCTTAATCTAACAAATCTCTGATAAATATTTTGTTTACTGATAATTTTTGTTTATTATATGTCTATTAAATATTAGAAAAATATAAATATTAAATCCAAAAAATATATTTTGACGTATTCAAAATATTAATTAAATAAACAACCCTTTCATCCATTAATATTCAAATTTCTAATCCACGATTATTTTTAATAATTCGTTTTCTTAAAGATAAATGCTTTAATCCTTCACTCCTAGCTGTCATTTAATAATTTTTTAAAAAATCTTGGGGTATGTTTGTAAATATACAAAATATTTTTTTCTTGTTTACGTCCTAAAACATTTTCAAAATAAATAAAAATAATTTTTTCTTCCTTTTAACATTTAATTAATTATTTTTTAATCTGCTTTAAAGCAATATGCATACTTAAGCTTGCAAAATACAATAATAAAACATTTATTTTCTGTTTCAGGATTTTTAAAAAAAGTTTCAGAATTCTTTAAAATGTTTCAGAATTAAAAAAAAAGTTTCAGAATTTTTTTCAGAATTATTATTCAAGCTATAAATTTAAAAACATGTTTACGCTTTTCAGAATAAAACAAAAATGTTTCAAGTTTACTTAGAGAAGTTTCAAGTTTCAGAATTATTTAAGAACATTGTTTAGAACATTTCAGAATTTTTACAGAATTTATTTATGTTCTAAACTTAAAAACATTTTCAGAAACTTAAGTTTCCAGAATTAATTTTCGCAACCAGAATTTTTTTAAATTTCAGAATTTTTGCAAAACAAGTTTTTAAGTTTCAGAATTTAATCTGAACAATGTTTGAATATTTCAGAATTTATTTTCAGAATTTTTACAACCAGAATTATTTTAAGTTTACAGACTTAAGTTTCAGAATTAAGTTTCAGAACTTTTTTTAAGTTTCAGAATTTTTTTCAGAATTTCTATTTAAGTTTTAATACATTAACTAAACATTTAAGCTTGAGCTTATTTAATTCTGAAACAAGTTTATTTTTATTTCAATAAAGTATTTATAAATTTTGAAGCGGAAGCAACATTCTAGCTAATCCTCTACATATTTATTACTCATCTTACTTCCAAAAAAAGAAAAAAAAACTAAAAATATTTTAAAAACAAAATTCTTTACCGCCCACACTGATTTTTTATATTTTATTTTTTTATGCTTTAAGTTTTTTAATTCATCAATGGATTTAAGCTTCAAGTCTCCCACTCTTTTAACATTAAAAAAAATTTTTTTGGATTATTTTCTAAATTTGTACGTATATAGTCATTTTATATTAATATATAATTTTTAAATACAAAATTTAACATATTACTAATTCAGAACCATTATAATATTAGTAATCCTGCGGATATGGTAACTAGACGTAATAGATTAATTTCCGCTTCCGTTGCTTCTCAAAATTTTTTTTATTCATTTAATAATTTATATCTTCAAAAATGTCTTTTTTAATAAATTATAATTATTAATCTATTTTTAATGTATAAATTAAAATAATAATTTATTATTGAAGCATGCTTCATATTTTTTCAAACTTTGCCTAACCTGCTTCTATTTTATTCGTGAATGCTTCGTTAAGAAATATTACTGAAGCATGCTTTGTATTTCTGAAACATCCTTCATATATTCCTGAAGCATGTTTCATATTCCGAATCTTATGCTCCTGAGGTTGCTTCATATTTTTGAAACATGCTTCTTATATTCCAGAAGCATGCTTCATTTATTAATAACCTAGCTTCCTTTATCTTTATGCTTTGCTTCAAAAATTTATTTTATTAATTTTTGCTTCAATTTCATATTAAATTTTAAATAATTTTTAGTAAGCAAACAAATTTCAGAATACAATTATAAAAGTTTATTGCCAATTTAACTTCAATTAAATTAATCAAAATGCAACGATATCAGCCTGAAAATTTTTTAACTCTTAATTCAAAAAAATCTTCAACAAATAAAAATACTTTTAACAATTTAATTACTATGAAAGCAACAATTATTGGATTATTTTTCTTGTGTCAATTCATTGTTAATTCTGCAGCTCCAATTCCGCGAAGTAGGTATAACAACTACCCAGCTGTTGATTTATCCGTGGGTTTTTTATACTTTTGCATCCTTAAATTGAAGCATCCTTCGAAAAATTAAATATATTTAATAAGACTTGAAGCATGCTTCAAAGCTGATGAAATTTGTTTCTAGAGGTTCTGAAGCATGCTTCAACTTAAATGAAACATGTTGTCTAAAATTTTTAAACCTTTTTAAAAATGTCGAAGCATGCTTCAATATATATTTTAAACACGTTTTTAATATGTATCTTCAATAAAATTAAATTTTTTACTAAACTTGAAACACACTTCCAATATTCAGGATCTCGAGTGGCCTGAAGCGCAACCTATCCAACTACTCAACGAAAACGGAGTTGTGAGTGTTGTGGAATGCTATACCGAACTTGATGCTTCATTTATTAACTCAAACTTAATCTACAGACTAAACAATACTGCTGAAGTTCGTGACCGCTCCTGCGTTGTGCGTCTTCCAACGCATATGATTTTGACTATTATTGATATTAAAACTCATGATGATAATGTAAAAATTTTATTTTTGAGAATAAATGAATTAATTTATAAAATTTATAGAGTTATGTAACAGTAATGGCAGGTTCATCAAAAATTATTATGCCGTTATCCATCAACCATATACGCTCTGGTGAATTTTTATTTGATAATTATTTCAAATTAAGCATGCTTCTAGAATTTAAAAACATTTATAAAAAATTGAAACATGTATTAAAAAATCTAAATTTGCTACTTAAAGCCCTAAAATTGCTTCAGAAAATTTGAAGCATGCCTCAGTGATTTGAAACATGCTTCAAAATTTATGAAGCATGCTTCATAGTACCTGAAACATGTTTTAGAACACGAGTGATTGTTTCAAAATTTAAAAATGTGAAGCTTTAGAAGCTTTAAAAAATCTGGAATCCTCTTCTAATATTAAGTAACATGCTCATATAATGAGAAACTATCTAAAAATTAATAATTAATTAATTTATTTAAGCAGAAAAGCAAAGATTTGGACCCTACCACATACCCTGCGAAAAATCCTATTTAATCTTCAACACAAACCAGCTCTCGTTAGAGTGGGTTGAATTTAAATTGGAGCCAGAACAACCCGAAGACATGGAAGATAATGAAGAAAAAATTTGTTCAGATCAAGGGCTTAATCTAGTGGAGATTGAATATAATAATGAGAATAGGGATGCAAGCAATGAATCGGGTTCAATAGATTCAAAGAGAAGATGAAGGAAATTGTTTTGAATGTCGGAAATTTTATTTTTAAAACTTTTTTCTCCATATTAGTTTGTAATTTTATATTAGAATCTGTACTATCCTCCTCTTGAGTATCTAATTTAGGGGAAGGCTTCTTTCAAGGAGAAGACTTCTAGCCTTTTACTAAGTTTTTTGTAGAGAGCGAGATTTTCAACAAAACCTTTACCTTGATCCTTGACCATTTCAATTGGGTACCTTGACCAGATTCATGACCTATAGTCAAGGAAAAATCAAGGTCAAAAAAATCAAGGAACTTTGAAAAATGCCTTGATCTGGACTCTGGATCCAGGAAAAATCAGGGTTTGGATCCAGATACAGCTCGTTCTCTCAGTTCCAGCTCGTTCTCTCAGATCCAGCTTGCTCTCTCGCTCTCTACCTTAATGTTTTTGATTTTAACATTAAGGTCTAGCTTTCTTCGGATATCTGGAACAGAACCAAATAAACCGGAATATCCTCAATTTTAAGTTTCGATTCATTTCAGAACCGACAAAACTTTATTAAGGATGATTTCATAAACAAAGTCTTTAGGTATGGGATAAGACAAAGATTCTGATATAACTAAATTAATTTTTATTCTATTTTGATGGATTATAATATTTAGAGAAATCTCATTTCTTCAACGACTAATGATCTTACAATATTTTTGTTTAAGTATTTGATATTGCCAGTAATAAAAATGTTAAATTTAAAAATTTCTTAAATTTTCTAAAATTCTGAAAAGTTTCGAGAGTTTTTTGAGGAGTTTTATTTCGAGGAGTTTAGAAAAGTCACTAATACAAAATTTTATGATTAAAATAATCAGTTCAAAAAAACTCACGCCTTAACATTAGAAATCCCCCCCTAGCGCGAGTTAGAGGGGGCCATTCAAATTTTATTAGAAGGGGCATTCAAATGGAGAGGGCTGTTCTATTAGAGATAATACAGTAATTGAAATTTTTTAATAAATTGTTTTTATTTAATTTTGGGTCATTCATTAATTTAATTTTCTTAACTGCGAATATTTGAAAAAATAAAATTAATAATTAATTAAATTTTTGAGTTAAACTCTGACTCATTAACAAACATTAACCGAAAATTTTTTAAAAACAAAATTTAATCAAATAATTAAGTTTAGTTCAAAGTTTGCTTCAAAACTTTCAAGTAAACTTTGTTTACCCTTAAATTAAATTTTCTTAATTTTATTTAAAGTATAAGCATATAACAGGTCAAATTTTAATTAAATTTAAATGAATTTAATTAAATATGAAATCATTTAAAATTTATTTTTTTATTTTTTTTTAATGGAATTGGTCTATATGCAACTTCAGATTAGCTCGTAAAATCTGTATAACTGATTGGTATCGGTTCTGATTTTAATTAATAAGTTTAACTTACCGTATTTTTCCCAATAGAAGCGCATGCGCTTTTATTTTTCAACCTCCTCGTAGACTGCGCTTCTATTGGGAAAAATACAGTAAATTAAACTATGGAATTTATGGAAGAAAATGATAAACGGAAGTAATGTGGGAATTTTAGTTTGTGTCTAGAATTTTGTCTTTTTTTTTAAATTTCTCATTGCAAATTTAGTAAATTTTCAATTTCAGGCACCTCACCTTTGCCTGATACAATTTTCTAAATTTTTCAGTGGGTTGAGACAGCAAATTAATTTAAGCCTCTTCAGCTTAAAAATTAATCTACTTCCTAGTTTTAATTTAAAATAAATTTTATAAATATGTACATTTCTAACTAGGGTAGGACACAAACAGTTAACCGAACCGAAACCGAAAACCGGTTTTTTGCAAATAAACCGAAACCGGTGGTCAATCGAAAATCGAAACCGAAAACCATTGGTCGTAAACCGGCCAAGACCGAAAACCGAGGATACCGGTTAATAACCAGTCCTGCCCAACCATAATTCTAACCTAAGAATTTATTATTTTTATTTTATAGTCCCTTATTCAAACTGTGCTTCTACGTTACAAGAATTATTTATTTTTATTTTTTGCCAAGAAAATAAAAAAAAAAGGAAAAAGGATGCCGTCAATTGCACAAAAACTAACACAAAACAATGGAGATATACACACATTTGTTTTTTTACTTTTTATGCTTTTCATTGCTTTCTTGTATTTTCTTTAGCCTAAGGTTCTGTTTATTGACTTTTTCTCATTTATTTTTGTTTTTAAAGTGCCTTTATTATTTTTATATAAAAAATTATTTTTTTGTTGCCACTGAAATTTAAAAGATTTATTTTAAATTTATTAAGAAATTGGATTAATTTCAACAAAATATGGACAGTTAACTCAAAAAAAATTATTAAAATATGAATAAACGATGTTTTAAGGATGTTTCAGAATCCAAGTAGGCCAGAAAATAAGGAAATCCATATAGTTCTCTGTTATATCACTGTTAATCAAAAAATTTATTTTTTTCAATGTTTTTGACCTTATGCAACTTTTAATTATCTTGAGAATTATTTTATCAACTTTTCCCTCTCATTTTTATTTTTTATCTTCCAACCTAGAAAATTTTTTAATATTGAAAATTATTTATTCAAAATTTAACTTATTTGTGACTTCAATAATTTAATAAAAATAATTTTTGACATCGCTCAACAATAATAACTCACTGAGCAACCTTGTCTCTCTTCTCTCATACAGTATACTCGAAAAGAAAGAGAGATTATGTCTAATTAAAGCTACTTGTAACTTACTAAATCAGGTATATTTATCAATCTTCATTTAACAAAAAAATCAAATAATGTTTAAATAAATTTTGAATTGGGAGAATTTATCCAAAAATAAAAAACCCCTCACCTAAAAATTTAAAAGAAAAATTTTATTTATTAAAAATAGATCACCTAATTTAGTGGCATTTATCCTAAAAATTATTAAAATTTAAAGACATTAAAATTTTTATAAAAAAATAATTTTTGCTTTTTTACTAAAAAATTTTTCCTCGCTTGTACACTTAAAATTGAAAAGCTTTTAAATTTCCTTTCTTGTACCTATTAAATTTCCTTTCAAAAAAGTCCTCTTTTAAGGGATAAAATTGGCAAAATAAAGTGTTAGTTAACTAGAAAAATTATTGTTATTTAAAGAATTTTAAATAAAAAAATTTTTCTTGTGAATAGATTGACAAGTTAAATTTTTTAATTGTTGGGGGATTTGGTGTGGCAAAGATTCTTAGCTTAACTTTTCCTCAACAATAGTCAAATCCCTAATTTAACTAACACCCTCCACCTCCCGTCCCTAATAAGGCTGTCGGATCCTGATCCTAGAAAATAACGGATATCCGGAAATTTCGGTTTGGATATCAGATCCGGATATCCAAAATTCCCTGTTAATCCTAAATTTCCTCGATACCTCTGTTAATTCCTCAAATCCGTTCAGAATTGACCTTAATCACTCAATATCCTCCGTTGTGACTCAAATTTAAAACGCCGAACATTCGGTTCCGGATCCGGATATGATATCCGAAGATTTCCAATTATCCGACAACCTTATTCCCTAACTCCGGGATACTCTTTTCCTCCTAATCCTCATAATCTTAAAATTAAATTAAATTTCGCGCAAGACAAAGGACATCTAAAACAAAAAATTAACAAAAATGGGCACTCAAATAAAATAATTTTCTTACTAGCTCAAGTCATTTTTACCCTTTTTTACACTCTTAGCCTTATTCTACATCTGTTTTTTCTCGGAATAAATTTTTTGACATCTTCAACTTGATATAAATATATACTTACTTGTCATCTTATTTTTTCCCCATGGTCCGCACCCTCCCATTTTTAATTTGGCCGTTGAAGGACTTGTTATATTGAGAGAATGCCGTTGAAAAATTGAAGGGAGGGGAATGCCCTCTTTTACATTTTATTTATATCGTCTTAGGCCAAAAACAAGATTATTTGGTTATTTTTTAGGGAAATGTGCGTGTCCCCCTTATCCTCCTTCCTCCCTCGTTTCCCTCCTCCCTCATCTTCCTCTTCTTCATATCCTTGCTAATGCTTTTCCCCTCTCATTTAAGCAGCCGACAAGAGCTCATCATCATTGTAAATGAAGAAATAATGCTTGTCTTTTTTTACTTTTTTTGTTTAAATTCCCGACTCAGTCTTATTTATTTATTGAAAGGCCGGCTAAGTTTTCTTAATGGATAGTGCTGGATATGGCTAAGGAGCTAGCTCCGGAGCCTACTTTTCCTTCATTTTTGGAACCTTCATCGTCCCTCATTTCCCTCAATTTCGGAGCCTAACTCGTCCCTCATTCCTGGAACCCTCATTTCTGGGACCGCTCCTCATGAGCCAAGATTATTCCTAGTTTGATACCCAGAACTGTTCCGAGTCTAGTTGATAAAGCATACTTGTGAACTATTTTTGGGATGCCACTGCTTTTACCCTTCCTTGCCATATAAATTCGGAGCTACATGCTCTGAAGCTACCTTTTCCCTCATTTTTGGAGCCTTTCTCATCCCTCATTTCTGGAACCAGCTCCTGCAGGAGCCAGAATTGTTCCTAGTTTGATACCCAGAACTATTCCGAGTCTAGTTGGGGTGCCAGTGCTTTTTTGGGTGCCACTTCTTTTCCCTTTCTTGCCTAAGAAGTTCAATGCTAATAATCTTAAAAATATTTTTTATTATAAGTCTCTCTCAAATAACTTTCAATTTCCTCCATAAAACTCCATAAAATTATCTTAAAAAATATTATAAATATTAAAATATGTATCCGCCTCCCAGCTGGAAGCCTCCGGGTGCAAAATCTGCCAAAAAGACAGGTGTGTATTGCCCAAGTTTACTTTCGACTTAGAAAGAAGGATTTGAATTATCCTAAAATTAATTTTAAATTATAATTAATTCTTAAAATTAATTTAATTTTAGGAAGCGGACATTCTGCAGCAGTAATGGCTACTACACGCGCAGCAACTTGTAAGCTTCCTAATTTATTTTTTTTTTCCGAATTTAAAAATAAATTAATTAATAAAAAATAAATTTCCTCGGAAAACTTTTCAACAATTTTTGCCTTTAGATTCTATTTTTGAGTATTTTCTACTAAATAAATTTAAAAAATAACAAAAAACAAAATTTGTCCTATTGTTTGCTAGTTATTTAAGAAAGTAAGCCTTTTTGGCATTTTTAGGTCTTAGGCCTATATTTTTACTGTGTTGTGTATTATTTTGAAAATTGATATGCCAATCTTTTTAAAAATAAAGAAAATAAATTTAAGTAAGCTTCACAATTTATTTAATAATTTAAGTCATTTCAATCTTTATCTACTCGCTTTACTTATACCTACATATTAATTATAGCCTAACAAAATAAATAAAATTAAGAACAAGCTTAATAAATTAAAAAACCTTATTAAATAATAAACTTGATTAAGATCAAACTAGAAAATTAAAAAAAAAGTTTAAACTTGAAAATAAATAAACTTGAATTTTAATATTAATATAAACTTGAAATAACTAATAGTGAAATAAACTTAAGTTTATACTTGAAAATCTAAAAAATAAACTTAAGCCTATACATATTGAACAATAAACTTGAAGTATATAAACTTAATTTAACTAATGAAAAAATAAACTTAATTAAGATCAAGCTTAAAAAATTAAAAAATAAACTAAAGCTTAAACTTGAAAATAAATCTTACTCTAAACTTAACTTTAAAAATAAGCTTACCTAAAAAGTAAAGTAAATTATATACATATTTTTCTAGCCCAAAATTTTTTTATTTGCTTTCTTATTTTTAAATTATTCCATTATTTCCATTTGTTGAATTGAGAGAATTTTTTACGAGTGTGAGAGCCTTGCAAATCGTTAGCTGCCGTTTGCGCCTTTTTGCTTAAATATGCGAGAAAAGTAAAAAAATAAAAAGGGGCACATCTGCAAACTTTAAAAATGACGGCGAATGCACTTCCTAAATATTCATTCAAAAAATGCATGACGAGCTAGAGAATATTTTTGTTATTTTTTCTAAAAGTATTTTTATTAAGGCATCAAGAAGAGCTAAATTTAATTTTTTAAAATTTTATTAAGGTATAACAGAGTAAGTTTCTTGATTTAATTTTTTGAAATGTCTAGTTTACATAATTTACTAATTTAATCATAGAAAGAGTTTAGCAAAAGTTTAGTCACCGGGCAGGATTGGACCTGCTACCTCCTCGTAGTTATTGCTAGTCGCGTTCATTCACACAAATAAATGCTCTATCACTGAGGTACCGGGCATTGACTATTGCTTTACACTTTTTAGATAGTTTAACCGTGAATTAAAATATAAGATTAAGCTTGAGTAAAGATAAACTTAAGTTTGAACTTAAAACTAAACCTTCAAGAATAAGCTTAAGTTCAAACTTATTAATAAACTTTAGAATGCAAGCTTAAACTTGAATAAAAACAAACTTAAGTTCAAACTTAAAAATTTTGTTAGCTACATATAATTTAGTTAAGTTTTTCAACATTTTTTCAATTAATATTCTTGTCCTCAACTATAAATTATACTTTTGAGTTTACCCATGCTTAACTTAATAATATTATCCGTTTTTTCATATAAACGAAAAATAGATGAGCAGCAAGTTTATTTATCTATTTATTTTATGTCATATACACACATCTATTTTGACTCTGCTTATTTAAGCGGAAATCCCCAAGGCTATAATTTTCATAATTTTTAAAGCAAAAATAGTTTAGTGACTCACTTATTTTTTAACGTGGAGAGATTTCTTATTTTTTTAACTAAAAAATATAAAAATTTAAAAAGTTAAGAATTTATTTTTTTATTTTCTTCCATTAAAATTTAACCAAAAACAATAGGCACAAATGCCAATGGCTTATCTTCTTAAATATTATACCTGTTAGTCTTAAAATTAAAAATTAAAAAAAATAAGCCTAATAAACACTTAAAATAATAAAGTTAAATTAATTTATAAGCTTAAAAACTTGGAATAAACTTGAGACTAAGTCTTGAAATCAAGTTCGATCTTAAACAAAAATAAACTTGAAATAAAGGAAACTTGAATTATTAAGAATGTTCTTAAATAATAATTAAAACCTAGCTTAAACTTAAAAATTTATAAACTTGAAAACTTAAGTGTATACTAAAAATAAACTTGAAACTTGAAAAAATAATAAACTTTGAAACTTAAGTTTAAACTTGAAAACTTAAGTTTATACAAAAAATAAACCTAAAACTTGAAAAAAATAATAAACTTTAAAACTTAAGTTCAAACTTGAAAACTTAAGTGTATACTATAAATAAACTTAAAACTTGAAAAAATATTAAACTTTAAAAATTAAGTTTGAACTTGAATAAAATTATGTTTTATTCAATCATTTATTATTTAAGTTTCTGCCAAAATTCGAACCCTCAGCGATTTCCACAGCCGTATACTTAATCAGCAACAAGTCCCTAGTAGTGCGGAGATGGTAACTACCTTGAGATATTTTCAACAAACTTTAGTCAGGTTTTTAAAAATATTTTTAGAATATTCTAAAGTTTTCCTCAGTTTTTTAAAAGACATACCCTCCGAACGGAGCTCACTCTTCGAAAAATATTCAAGTGAAAATGCCATTGTTCGGAGCGGATTATACCCAAACCTTAATTATTCTGGCCTATTTTATGGTATTGTTAATCTACTCGATGCTTTCCCTATGATTAGTAGTGCACAGACTGGTAGGGATTTTTATGTGAACTTATAAATTTCGAATAATTTTTAAGCTATCGCTGAGGCAATACTTGATACACTTAAAGCACTCTACTTCTTTTTGGATAGAGAATGTATTGGTAAATTTTTGAGAATATAAGTCATTTTAATCATAGAATTTATATTTAAATGTAGGGTGAAGTGAGGATTTAGCTTCTAAAAATAAGGTGTTATGTAAGGATAAGTGAGTATTCCAACGTTGAATCAATCCATGAATGGATCAAGGGAGCATTCATAGGTAGGGTGAAGGGAACAATTATTATTAGAATGAGCGAACATTCTTTCTAGGTTCAGGTTTATATTCATAATCATTGTCAAGGGAACATTTAGATGTAACGTAAAAAAGCCATCAGAAGAAGGGTTATGGGCTGTGTTAGCAACTAGGAAGTTCACAGTTTTGAGGGTTCAGAACTAGGAACCTTAAAAAATTTTTTCAGAACAACTTCCTCTATTACTTGCTTCACAACTTGGCGTTTTTCCTTCCGAAGTTGACCGTCGACTTGTACATTTACTATGCGACTGTATTTTTCCCTACTCTTTTGGGGAGGGAGTTAATGGACGTGTTTCAGTCCCAGCTGTACTTATCCTTGTTCTTCACCATTCTGCCGATAATTGTGAATTTTTATTAACCTAAAAATAATTTTTTTTTCAAAATCTTAAGCATTACACACCCTAATTATTGAACGGCTGGCTTATCGTCTGCCTGATTTATACTCAGATTTGTTAACAGTAATAGCTTCTGGAACAAGTGAATCTCGTATAGCAGCAGTTAACCTGCTTTTCCATTATTGGCCGTTGTTATATCCTGGAATTATGCTCAGACGGACAGTTCAATATCGAGTACAGGCTTGGGCATCTCCACAATGTCAGAATACACAGTGCATGGAGAAGGGCCCAAGGCATGCAATTTAACTTCTAGCCTTAATAAGAGTCTAACCAAAGCCCATTAATACGGATATATCATATATCCACGGATATGGACGGATACGAATATGAAATCATACCCGCAAGATATCCTCCAACCCCAATCCAGACTGCCGACACCGGCATTTCCCTGAACCTGACATTTTTGACCACCTTGTGGAGGAGCCTATAGTCATTGTCGTCCCTCTCTATATTTAGTAATTCATTTTTCTCTCCCTCTCTATAGGAATGACACTCAGATTCTGACATAACTCTTATTTTTTCAGCACTTGTCTCACTTTCGAACCTTCAATCTGCGCAAATTTGGGAGACTCTTCCCCTCCAATGTTCATTTGCCATAATTGCCAGGAATCCGTCACTTCATCAACTACAGAACCCTTGCATTATCTAAGTCAACCACTCCCTGTAACAATAAGTACTACATGCCAAAATAAGGCAATTTTAATATTGCAAGTCTTAACAGAAAATCCAATTTAGGGTTGTAATTCTTCAAATCGAATAGCTAAGGGCACCTGTTTTGATGAAGATTGTATTCGGTCGAATGGGCACGTGCCTCTGAGACTGTGTGAAGTAATACTTCTTAAGGGCAAACTTAAAAAAATTTTTTCTTTGTTTTATCAAAGGAGTGCTTCAATGCTCTTCACCCTGTAGAAAACATACGGGCATACGAGCACAACCGGCATAGTGGGCATGGTTCTGTCTGGGGCACTCCCTATGAGAGAGTGATGGTTGAAGCTGTAAAACTTTTTAAATACTTGAGAATGTAAATTGGAAAATTTAAGATTGTAAAGCTGTTAAGAGAGACCTCTTCAAAGCTTACCGAGCTTTCTGCGGATGGGGAATCTGCAAAAAGACCAAAATGGCTAAGGCAATTGGAGGGTGGGAGAGAACTTGGGCGTGAAATTGATCCACTGAGTGATGAAAGGAGAATGCTGAGTAGATTTGGAATTTGGTTAATGGTGGCACATTGTCCTCCTGTGACGGAAGCAACGCCGGTTATTTACTTTTTAATGAAGATATAGTATATTGGTTGATGAAGGGATTAAACTATTAGTTCATCTAATTCCACGGAGAAATTGAGAAAGGCAGCAACAGACCGTATGTTCCTATCGGATCCTGAGTTATCCCGAGAGATCTTTATCCTTACTGCTCTAAAGGAGGTCTCAAATTCTGAGAGCTCCTTATATTATCACTACTTTTCTAACAATCATATTAACACGCCATAGCATCATGCTTTCATGACACTGATAGACCCCAATTCTCCCATCTAATCCAGAGATAAGAGTCGCTCCCTCACAATATCCCTATAGCCCTATGCTCGTATCAATCATATTAACCATAATTAGCATCTTCAAACCCCAGCCACTCTTAAATCAGAAATCTTTTTATTTTTCAAATTATCCAGAGCTCTGTTGGATATCTTCTTGGTGCTCTATTCCAATGGTTCTCTACTACTGCATTGCTGCCCAACGATGCAATGGGGCAAACGCTAGAACAACTCAAAGCTGACGTAGGCAACCCCCCCCCCCCAATACTTAAAATCCGTTTTTTCCAGTTTGGGTGTGACTGGCTCAACCAAGCATTGTCCAACCACTACGAAGTTTTTATTAATGAACTTCTCCCACAACAACTAGAACCCCTTTATGGAAATATAGAAGATACAATTTGGGATGAGCGCTTTGTTCGTAAAGAGATTATGCGCGATGGATTGAGTAAACTACTTGCGTTGGCCCCGTACGACATTATATCCATAACAACGTGGTCTAGAGTTATGCCACATTGGTTACACTCTTTGAATAATGATTTGGTTAGTGAGGAGGATTTGTTGGAGTTGAAGGTGCCTATCAGTAAATTGTTTGAACCTGATCTTTGTGCTTTATCTTTTGAGGTATCTTACAATTAGTGTTTATTTATAACCCTTGTTTTTCCCTTATCTGTAGTCAAGAGCAAAACCCAACCCATAAGTTAGCTCCCACATTCTCAAGAAGGTGTGGGAAAGGGTTAAGGAGTGAAACTCTAATATCCAGCACAGCCCCATTGCCATTTTACGAGGGGACGCTGTTTGAACTAAACTTCATCATCAACGTGCATTAACATATGCATGTAATTTTCAGCCTCAACGTCTTTATGAATTTTTGGCAATCCGACTACAGTCTAATTCTTACGAAGAAATACTCAAAGCACTCGACTGGCTACATGTATGCTTTAAATTTATTTTACATCCCTCTATTTGGAGGCACCTCTAATAGAATAACCCTTTGAAGTCTTATTGAAAAATAAATGATCGGTTAATAAATGGGAGAAAATATGAAACTTAATAATTTATATTCTTTAATTCTTCAATGTTACGTTAATGGGGTTTATAGCAGAGAGTGAGCTGGATCTGGACCCAGACCTTGATTTTTCCTGGATCCAGAGTCCAGATCAAGGGGTTTTTCAGAGTTCATTGATTTTTCTTGACTCAAGGTACCCAACTGAAATCAAGGTCAATGTTTTTTGAAATTCTCGCTTTTATGTAGTTTACAGTAGTAAAAAATACTACATATATCCATCAATTAGCATAATCTACATATTTCATTCTACAAAATATATTTACAATCTGCAAATCTTTCCTTAAACTTATTTAAAATTATCGTTTTTCTTTCTTTTATCACTCTATCATTAATATTTTCAATTAATCACTTTAACTGCAGAAGCTGGGTAGTTACAAGAACTGCCAGTTCCCGCCTGTCCAGGTTTATAACTATATTTCCAAGGATCTCCAACATTGTCCCCCAAGTACTCTGAACAGACAAATGTAGTTGCAGTTGCAGGGTTGTTGTTTCCATAGATAGTTATATTTCGAAGAGTTACTTTGTCTTGATATTGTTTGTTAGCAGCTAAAAATTAATTTAGTGATTAACACCTTTAAGCCCTTACATATAATAGTTAGTGTAGGCCCTTTGAATCTAGAATCCTCAATCGTCATATCTCTTTTATATTGCTTTCCGCAATTTCCACAAGACGCAAGACCTATTGCACAATTTACTGCGCAAAAGTTCTTTATTATAGTCTTTCCAGGTCCGCTCTGATCGAAAATTTTTTGAAAGCCGTCTAGAGCGCCTCCTCCATCTACAATCTAAAAATTGGAGATTTTTAGCAATTTTAAAATTTTTGTACATATGTATATTGTGTTGAATCTCCTTCCTGGTTTGTACGTCTTGAATTGAATGCCGCTGTAGCACGGAAGCTAGCAGCTCGCCAACAAACATTCTCCCACCTTAAATGATTAATAAATGATATATTTTTGGAACTCGAACGGATCTCAATACATAGATAAAAGCAGTTTATTTATAAGTAGCACTACATACTACTTATGTTATACCCAATTTTTACTGCAAGTACTGAGATTGCGATTTCTTATTACAGATAATTTGCATTAAGCAAGTTATCCTTCCTTCCAATCATCTAAATAAGTAAGGGCCTACCAAACATTTTTGAGTGTACAACTCCCCATACAATTAATATCAGCAGCAGTACCATCCGGAGAGACACCAAGTATCACATTCCTCACAGTTCCACCATCCGCAACAGTAATGACAGAACCCCATTGTTTCGGAATTTTTGAGTTGCAAGTCCCTGGATTGCCATTCAATCTAATTCTTTGCATTCCAAAATCAACATCCTGGTCGCCTCTAACATAAAAACCAGTATTTGTAACATTATTGCGTGAAGCCTTTGGAAAATTACAAAATCTAGCCCCTTCTCTATTCAATTCTATAGACAGTATAGATATAAAGGAAATAATTAAAATAAATATATTAAGCATTTTATTCCTCTTAGATTCCGAGGGTATTGAAATTTGCTTTTAAAATTTGGTGAAGAATCTAGAATTTCTAGCAGTTTTTATATGCTTAAGTATAAGAGATTTTAAATGATTTTCCACTTACGTATAAAACCATCTCGTGGTTTATTAAGTAAACAGTAATTGACGCAAACGGAAAAAATTTTTTAAATCTATCTATTTTGGTTTATTCTCTTAAATTTAATTTTTCAAGTTAAAAATTTTTATTTTACATCTGAATAAATATAAATTATAAATTTTTGGCTAATTTTGCCAAAATTTTTAAAAATTTATTTTCTAAAAAAATTATTTCCTTCAGTACAAAATTTTTTATTCACTTTTTTAATATAAGCTTCCGGAATTCAAGTCGATTTCTTTGCTTAATATTAATTTTAATATTTATTTCATGATAATTAATTACCGTATTTCCTCTATTAAAATGCCATGGCATTATAATTTTTTAATCACCTCGAAGATGGCATTCTATTAGAGGGTGGCATTCAAATAGAGTGTGGCATTGTATTTTTCGATGAGAAAATTTCAAAATTTGGATAATTTTTGGACCATTTCGATAAATAAAATCGTAAAATGGATAAAATTGGCCGAAATTTAAAAGTATAACTTACGAAGAATTCTTGTGAATATTATTAAGTATTCTTATGAATTTCGAATAATTTAAAAATTTAACTTATTTGATGATTAAGGAGTATTTGCAGAGACAAGGGATTATCGGGAATATCACAAGTAAAGAAGATATTTAGGGATTATGAGGGAGCTTTATAATTTAAGGGAGCTTTAGAATTATTTAAAGAAGTTCTACAAATTCGAGGGGCTAATGTAAACTTTGAGAGACGAAGTGAGTTCCTCCACATCTAATTATATCATTCCTCTACTGAATAAATTTTATCACCAAATTTTATCTTTTTATTAACGATATCCCTCTCTATTCCTTCTAATCTCTGATATTTCCATAATCACTCTTTCCCTCGATATTCTCTTTTAACTCTGAATTTAACTCTGAATCCACTTATATCCTCTCAATCCCTACGAATCGAACGCTATCACTCTGAGATTATCTTAATCTCTTCAATCCACGATATCTGTGATTTCTATCAAGCTCCAGTATCTCTGATATTATTTCGTAAAAATTTTTAAGGAAAATTTCTTAACTTCTATTTGACATCATTAAAATCACGTTAAGGGATGCTATTTTGACTCACTTTAGTTTACATAATAATCCAAACTGGTAAGAAATAAGAGAAAGTCGATAGAAACAGTTTCAGATTGATATATTATTATATTTTGAAAAATTTCAGCGTTAGTAAAGGGTGGCATTCTAATAGAGGGTGGCATTCAGGAATATAAGGAAATAAAACAGGAAATACAGTATGATGTTTCAGAAACATTGAAAATTTTTCAGAATTGTTATTGGAATAGGTACGCTTCATATTAGAACAAAAAAAATCTAAAAATTTTCAACAGAGTAAAAAAAGTCTGCTATTCGTTAAGGAACACAAGGCTAAACTTTAACCACACGGGGCTAAATGGGGCTAAACTTTAACCATTCTCCTACCACTTTTACGTAATATAAAGCAAAATTTAATATTTTTTTTGTTTTATCGTAATATTTTGTGAAAAATATAAATTAGATAAGGTATTTAATATTAATTTATTATCATCTACATATACAATATAAATTTAACATTAATTATTTAATCCTTAAATTTGCACTTTTATTTATAACTCTACGAATTTCTTCAGTTTTTTCAGCTCATTTTTCAATTGACCACTTTAAATGCGGAAGCTGGGTAATTACAAGAACTACCAGTTCCAGCCTTTCCAGCTATCCAAGCATATTGCCAAGGATTTGCAGCATTTTGCACTGCCTCTACACATGCAAAAGCCATTTTAGTTGCTGGATTGTTGTTGCCATAAACAGAAACGTTTCGAAGAGTTACTTTGTCATTGTATTGATGGTTAGGCCCTTAAAAGGTCGATTATGTGATTAGTCTTCTTTTGAAGTCCTACCCATAATAAGAAGTCCAGGTCCCTTGAATTTAGAGTCCACAATCGTTAAATCTCGTTGGTATTGTCTTCCGCAATCCCCACACGCTCGAAGAATTATCTGGCTATTTGCTGCGCAAAAGTTCTTTACTATAGTCTTTCCAGGTCCGCTCTGATCGAAAATTTTTTGAAAGCCGTCTAGAGCGCCTCCTCCATCTACGATCTAAAAGTAGAGATTTTTCAAATAATTTAAAAATTTTTATATGTACATATGTATATTGTGTTGAATCTCCTTCCTGGTTTGTACGTCTTGAATTGAATGCCGCTGTAGCACGGAAGCTAGCAGCTCGCCAACAAGCATTTTCCCACCTTAAATTGAGTGATAAAAATACAGCCTACTTTTTGGGGAGCGGGAATTTGGAGCACCACCGGACTTTCTTCCCACCCATGCGAATCCCTGAGTGGAGTGAAGAACCAACTTCGAAATCCACTTACCAAACATTTTTAAGAGTACAACTTCCCATGCAACTGATATCAGCAGAAGTGCCGTCTGGCGCGACGCCAAGTATTAAATTAGCAACAGTTCCCCCATCCTTAACTGTGAAAAGAGAATTCCATTGCTTCGGAATTTTTGGATTGCAAGTTCCTGGACTCCCTTCCAGTATAATCCTTTGCATTTTAAAATCATTGTAGCCACTAATGACTGAACCGGTCTTTGTATAATTTGTACTTGAAGGCTTTGGGAAATTACAAAATGTGGCTCCGTCCTGGTTTATCGCCAGGGATGATATAAATGAAATAATTAAAATTAATATATTAAGCATTTTTATTTCTATTGATTTCTGATTTTTTTTAATTTTTTAACTTTGGCTGGATATCGAGCTTTTCTTTTTGTATTTATAGGCTTAATTATATCAGTGGTTTAGAATTTTATACCTCAAAAAATTAACTGCCACGTACACACTTAATATAAAATAATTTTTTAAATTAGCCAAAATTTACATATGAATAAACAAAAACTCTTCTAAAAATGATTTAATTCTTCCGTTCCGGAAATTAAAATTTTTAAATTTATTTTCTGAATAACCATAGCTTTACTAGATGAAATTTTTTGATTTATTGGCACACCCCCAATATACCGCACACCCTATGTCTAGTCGACCACGACTTCATTTTAACTTGTCAAACCCGATACGCCTTGTTATGGTTCGATGTTCGTCGACAGCCTGAATCAAACAATACCAGGCCGTCCCGTATTCGATATTCTTTTCCGGGAATTGGATTACCTCGTGTACCCTGGACTTCTGTCCAAATTTCTCAACCTAGAATTACTCTACTTTATAATTTATTGCTGGTTAGAACTTAAGAAATTGTTTGAGTGATTATGTCTAACTCTATAGACCTCACAACAATAAAAATTTAAGTCTCGTTCACAGACAAAAAATTTTTAGGAATTAATTTAGCTGATTTTTAAAGTTTAAAAATTTTTAATTATTGTCTAGCCTATATTAAACCAGCTAACTTATCTTCTATTAAAAGTTCAGTCTTCCTTCCACCCATAATTTAACTCTTTCAAAGTACATTTTATAAAATTTTTTATAAATTTTATAAAGCATTTGTAATTAATTTTATAATAAAAAACATATGAGTAAACATTAATCTTAAATTTTTTAACTTCAACAATTTTGTTTCTTTCCTCAAATATTTTATTAAACCATAGACATCCATTTTATCGAAATATCAAGTCTAGTAATTTTGGGAGCAGGCCAATGTACTGACGAGCTATACAACAGCGTTCACATAAAAATCGTCTTGTAAGCCAGTAGAGCGAGTAAATTCTGGTTAGGATAGTCCAGAATGTCGAGAAAATAACGAGACGCGATTTTGTCTCTCCTTGTTTTGAATGCTATTTTTGTCGCAAAACTCTTGATGCTTTTATGAGAACGCGTAATAACACTGTTCGAAATTATTGCATACGTGAGCCCTGGTATTGTTCGATTCATCTAGTCTACGAACATCGAACCAGGAGCATCCAGGAAGGCATCTTTGACTTGACAATTTTAAATGAAGTTATAACTCGGTGGTACATTGGGCTCGCAGTGAATTGGGTGTACCAAGTAATTTTATATCCCCTTTCGGAAAATCAAGCTGTTCAATTCTAATTAATCACTTCTAGAAAATACCATCCATATAGAAAGAGTTTAGCAAAAGTCTGCGACCTCCTCGTAGTTATTGCCGGGCGCTTTCGCTCACCTCATGCAGGAGCTCTACCACTGAGCTACCGAGGCATCGACTAATGGTTTCTCTTTTATCCTTTTAGATCGTATAACCCCCGCCTAAGCGTTATAAATGCTCTAGGTGAATCATCATCAAAAAAAGCTATTTTCCATAGGATTTAGAAAACTAACTCCTCCTCTGCCAAAAACGAAAATCTATTTTTAAGTTTCCCCTTAGTATTGTGGAAAAATATACCTAATTAAATTAATTAATAATTTCAGTTACTTTCACGAATCGACATAAGAATATCGTTAGAGCTCCTCTTGGAGATGTTCTCCAACTCTTTACGTCAGATCCCATTGCCTACATCAGGAGAACTATTGGTACAACAAAAACAGCCTCAACACAGGTACAATGAATCCAAGCCTGTAGATGGAGTAAATTCTGGTTTGGCTAGTCCGGAAAGTCGAGAAAATAAGCTAATGGAAGAGGAGGAACCAGAGAGTGCTGAGAATTCACAACAAACACTCGAAGGACCTATGGCCGCCCAATTAGTTATGACTGATATACTTGCCCAACAAATTAAACTAGCTGGGGGTGCTAGTGCAATGACTTCAGCATCTCTATTAGAGCATCTCTTTTCATTAATAGCAGCTCTACTTGAATACCAACCCGAAGAAAGATTTATAGAGAATGGGTGGCCACATACTTGTAGGGATCCTGAAGGTGATCAGTTTGCAGACTGTCTGCGCTGTCAACAGGCTCTTTTTCTGTATCAGGTAAACCCCTTTTAACTTGCGTATGCTCCTAAGATCTATACGGATTAATTAAACATTTGGTCAAAAAAGTTCCAAAAATAAAATAATGTTCCTTTCAGCTTACGTATAGAGTCAAGGGAACATTCATTTAATGAAAATTCATAACCCCGACTCTCGTCGAGATTTTTGGGCCATTCAGTGACCCCATTCCCGACATGTAATTTGCCGTCTTACCGTTACCCGACAAAGTTCTCTCAAACGGGTCGGAGATAAAGAGGTCGGAGACCGAGAGACCACTCTTAATTTAAAATCAAACAAATAATTTTTAAAGGTGTTACTCCAAGTTCTCGAACAATTTTGTCCAAAAGAGGAATCACGCCTTGATGCCCTCAATTACGGCGACGAAACAGCACGTGATTTTGCTGACTGGCTGAGCGAGGCTAGCAGCTCTGTTCATCAACAACAACCTCAGGGTGTTGTAGCCGATGGTAACTCTCCTAGGCCCTCACCCTCTCCTCGAGCTTTATCCTCTTCTCCTGCCGGGCATACATTCTTTGGATCACCAATTACTCAGAAAAGACAACAGCAGCAGCCTGTTCCGAAAACATCAACACCCTTAATTAAGGCTAGGCAAGAGGTATAGAGCATATCCTCAGAAATTTTTAAAAAATTCCCTTAAAAGGTAAGCACACCAAGTGCCGAAATGGTGGGCGCGTTGCCAACCGATGACGTTGATTCAGCAAGTGAACAAGTTGCAGCATTTTCATTTGCTGAACAAAGCCCTATGGGAGTAGCCTGTATAAGTGCTACAGTTATTGGCGGATTATTGCAACAACAAGAAGCGGCTTTGACCGAGAAAAATGCTTTGGAAGCAGTTGATGGAGAGGGTAAAATAAAAATTGGAAGGACTGAACAAAAAGAGGAGCAACGTATATTCTGGGAAACTTCAGTAGGACGATTCCGTTTTTCTTTGGAGCAACTACCTGCTCAGTTAAGACTGACATATGTATTGCTTAAGGTATTTACATAGCCTATGTTCTCTTCAGACAACAAGTAGGCTGTAGGGAACATCTATCTACTAGAGTGTTCTCTTCAGCCTATAAGTAGTGTGAAGGGAACATTTCGGTTTTCAAGCTAAAACATTTATTTAAAGAATATTGAGAGAGAGCCCGATCCAGACGTTCAATTCTTCCTCCTGAGTATGCTTAAATACTTGTTTCTGCATAGAGAGTGTCTCTTGAACGCACGAAAGGAACAAGGTCTTTAAAAAAATTTGAATGCCCTCAAAAATAATTCAATAGAGCATCGCGGTTTTCTTGTTTGGATACAAGAAAATTTGTTGATCCCTCGACTCTGGAGCTTGTTACGATCTGACTACTCACATGTTAGAAAAATGATTTTGAATATAAATTTTAAAGAGATTTTTAAAGGTTGGCCAAATGGCAACTCCTCTCCTTTTACACGCCATCACTCTTCCATTGGGGGATGACGTCTTTTGGGAAAGTGTGAATGCAGAATTCACTTCTTCCGAATGGGAACGACGCTTAAAAGCTGGTGTAGTTTTTAGTCTTTAGCTTGAAATTTTTATGTTCCCTACACACTATAAGTAGGGTGAAGGGAACATTAATTTTTTTTATTTATTTTGTAGTGGATCGAGTACTAGTACTTGCCCATTTTGTACCTCCTGCAGCTGTTCGCTCAAACAGAACACTCTTAACGTCGTTGAGTTGCGCATTCTCTCATTTAATAGTATCAGTGCACGACCCAAACCCTGCTGTTGCTCAGAAGGCTCTTCTCTTACTTGAAGCACTTCCTCGCAGTTCTTTAACGGTAAAACAGGAATCAAAAAAAAATGAAAATAAAAACAAATTTAAGCTAATTTGCCATTGTTTGGAAGCTCAGTTTGATTCGTGCATACTTGATCGCCCTCTTATAATTGCACGTATTTATCTACTTAGCGTGCTTCTCCCAGATGAGAATTTGCTGTCTTGGGACTTTTTTATTCAAAGATTCGAAACTTTATCATTGGAGGCGCATCTTAAAGCTCAACAAAATGCTGGAGCTGATGCTAGTATGCATTTTTTGCAAGGTGATAATATGCAATTTATATTATGTTTTACTAGCTAAGAGTATATTATATCGAGCTTTGGTGTGGCAAATTTACTATTACTTGAATGGCACACTTTTCCAGGCCCATGAGATAGAGTGAACCATGGCTAAAACCTGGTTATTGAGGGAACATCACACAGACCTTGAGGGAACATCTCACATAGGGCTTATTTGTTAGGGTTTTACTATAGTGTTGAAGAGAAAAAAGGGAACATTGAGGTAATTATTGTAAAAAATCCAGGGAACATTATTAGAACCAATGGGTCTCATCATAAAATGAGAGGAAATTTATATAATGGCATTAGGGAACTCTTAATGGGTTTAAGTGAACATCTCATCATATAGTGGTATCTTTATTGTTATTCCTCTTGCAAATGAAATATTTCAGATTTTACATTATCCCCCTTTCCTATTAGATCTTCTCCATTCTGATCCAATGAGTGACGTTTATCAGCGCAAAGTTACCCGCGCTCGGCAATCGCTCAACGAGGCAGACAATGTGCGCTCAATTGTTCGTTCACTTCGGGAACATTCTTTGAGGCATCAGCTTAATCCCGGTGTACGTGGCGACCAAGGTGGGTTGCTAAGAACTAAAATCATTTGAAAATTATTTTTGATTATCATCTTTGCCGTGTTTTGCTAATCAGGATTGCTTGCTTTGAAGCTTGCTTTATGCTAACATAATTTTATATAACTTGCTAATATTTTTATAATAGATTCTAACACAGAATGACAATCTCCACTAAATTTATTTTACTCTTAACCTGGATAAGTGACATTCGCTGTGAATGTTTAGCATATCCTCCAGAAGTATAAGAGATCCTGCCGATTGACTTTTTTGCGTAGCAATTTATGTTCAAGTCGGTAGGATCCTTGCTAGAACAATTGCTTAAAACGAAAAATTTATCTTATCTTATACCATATTTTAGCCATATCTTATATATTAGTTTAACTTTTAGTGAAGCCAGATCTAAACTTTTAGTGATAGTTTAACTATTAGTGATAGCCAGAGCTCTTAAGTTTCACTACTATAATATTTAATGAGAAACTTATTTTCTCTTTCCCCACATAAAATCACAGAACGCCGCGATGCCGCACAACAAGTTCTGCGCGTATGCCTTCGCCGTGGAGCTGTTGCAGGAACAACAGAAAAAATCCATGGGCGATCCGCACGGGATCTGGCTCGTCTCAGACTGCGTAAAGTTTTGGTAGTAATCCGTGTGGTCAGTGCCTGGCGTGAAATGGCGGGCAGACTCCTTTTGCCATCTTCCCGAAGGTCTTCAAAAATGTCCCATCAAAGTGGGGGAAAGGATGAAGGGGAATTTGTGAACGAAGAACAACAACAGCAATCACTCTTATTGCCACACCATCAACATTTGTTGGAATTGGCAGATCAAGGCCTAGTAGATGACATGGGATTTTCTGAACGCTATTTTACGGTAGCAAGACGTTCAATTCAATCAACACCTCCTCTGTTGTTGCCTACTCTCCCTCAGTCTAGAGCGGGTTCTACAACTTCTTCGTTGGCGTGTACGCTTGAATTTTTAAATTTTTTTTGTTCGTGTTTGTTTTCTAAACTTTGTTGTGTTTGTGGAGTGAACTTTTAATTGTTTTTTTCAAATTTTAGATTTACTTTGACTTGCTTTTTACTTACATTTTTTTAAATTATTAACTTTCTTCTATTCCTTTCTCTTTACATCTTTCCTATCTTAACAAGTATCCGGAAGATCTGTTTCTATATACAATAATACCTAATTACACGTTTTTAACAAGTCCTAGGTTTAGGGTTTTTGTTCTTGTATTTTCTTTGAAATTCAGCGACAGGCTAAAATCCCAAAACTCGGAAACACGGATTTTAACAAAACAAGACCCGGAACAATTGTCCCGGCCGGATTCGAATTCTGTTTTTACTATTCTTGGGTCAGGCTCCTATTGAGCAGGCTCCTGAGCTAGCTCCGGAGCCAATCCGGAGTAGGATAGGTAGATAGTAGATACAGCTCCTATCCGGAGCCTATCCAACATTATTTTCAATATATAATTTTGATTTTCCGGTTACTTCACTTTCCTTTCCCCTTTCTAATTATTAATTTCACCACTTAAACAACAAATAATACAATTTATTTAGTGGATCTGGCTCATCCCTTAGTGCAATCGACAGTCTCTGCTTCATCTCTCAGCCCTAGAGCTATTGGCTCTGGTTTCTTTTGCCTTTAAAAATTTTTTAAATTTTGATCTAATCAGATTCCCGGTATGGTAGAATGCGTGAATTTACAGATGAAGAGTCCAATCTTTGTTTGCTGTTAAACCGGGTAGTGGATATGCAAAACCCGGAAAGGTTGGAATATACATAAGTTAAACTAGTCTATTTCTTTATTTAGACATACAGTATCACTCGTGGTTTCATTGTTTGTCCATTTTTTGGCTAGCAAGAGATGTGGCCCTGCTGATAATGCGAAGAAGCTAAGTGTAAGTAGGGTGAAGGGAACATCTAGTAATGTGAAAGGAACATCAAGTGTCTAAAGGGATTCTAATAGTGTGAGGGTTAACACACACCATTCCCTTTTGTTTACAGTATACCTGTAATAATGTATACCTGTAATCTCCTTTATCTACCCTCGCTTCTAAGTGCGGACTTTTCGTGGTCCTAGGGAAACTAGTAGTGCGTAAGGAACATCCATAGTGCGAGAAGAACATACGTAGAATTATATCATAATTTTATCAGGTGCTTCTTCGCCATTTCAATACTCTTCTTGGCTATAGTAACTCTGAAAAGTGCTTCACAATACCCCCTGCGCGTCTACGTCGCGCAGCCGTCTGCAACGCTTTTTTGCATGGATTACCAGGAGTATTGGATTCTAATTTGCTGATAGGCAATCAAGTAAAGGAAAATATTGTTTAGCCGCTAAACTTCAATTTTTAAAGTTACTTTCCATCGTACTTCAACTACTCCTTTACCTACCTTCACCTCAAAAATTTGCTAGCGATGCCCCTTCCGCTGATTATTCTCTTCGGTTGCTTTCTACGCAGCAACGGCATAATTGGCTGCATTCAATTATCATCATACTTTACAAAGTAGACTAAACTGACTCTATCTTTAATCCAAAATTCCCCTTAAAGTATCGTTGCGACGCTGCCCCTACAAACGACGCAATACGCAAACAGATGCTTATAGTTGTACAGACCTTGGAGCAGCAATGCCATCGCTGCCCTCCTACCTCACGAAATCAGGAGCAACAACCACCTGTAGCTATAGCACCGGAAAATAAGGAGAGGCGTTCGGCTACGTGTCTTTTGGAAGCACCTGGGCCTGATGGGCAGTGGTCGTCGTCTACGGAGGATTCTGAAATTGGAAATGATTCAGGCTAGAACGTTTGATTGATAAAAAAAACTTTAGGGTTGTCGGAACCGACAACCCTAACAAAACTTTGGGTTGTCCGACAACCCTAACAAACTTTGTCATGAACCGACAACCCTAACAAAACTTTAGGGTTGTCGGTTCATGGAAACTCTTTTGATGTATGGAGCCGAGCCGAAAAAGGGAACCGAAGAAATGAACTGAGCCTGAATCTTCTGATCGTCTCCGAAAATTAAAATGAATTTGGAACCTGATAGAGAATACTATCCGAAAATTTTTAGGTGTAGAAGAATTAAATAACGACCTTACGTCTACCAAAATAATGGATGCCGCAACCGAACCCTTGAAAGAAAAAAGATTTGCTTCAGTAGATGAAGTAGAAACGTTAAGAGAACACAATTCTACTAAAACTTCCATGCAGCACAGACCCGAATCCCTTAAACTTATGGCCATGCGTGAACAAGGAGGTGGTAGCACTTCCGACATTTCTCGTAAAACATCGAATAAAACAAAAGGCTCAGAGTCTGCTAAGGTAGCTAAATATGCATTTATTTGATTCTTAAAGGTAATACTGACCTCATTTTGAAATAATTCTTGTAGTAGAATTTTATTATAATCCTTTGGGGAGTACGAAGTGGTTTTTTATGATGCAGACTTCTTAGTAAGACTGCTAAGCTTCATGTATAATGCTGAGCTCCATTAGCTATTCAATAGCCAACCAACAGAAGGCTAACCTTATAACAGTGCTATACTGACTGAGCTACTGTGGCACAACTTTCACCCTCTCTTATAATAGATTTTAAATCCGATCAACTTCCTCCCTTAAGTAATATCCGTATATTTGAAGTCCTTTACTAGAAAATGACAGTTTCCTTATTGAATATTTTCTTTTAGACGTTGGATACCCGACCGCCCGTCATCGCACTTCACCCACCTGCAGGAATCAGACGTTCTAAAAGACGCCCCCACAGCCAAAAGCATCAAAGCAGCGTCAGAAAAAACCAAAAAACAAATAAACCAACAAAACGTGGAGCTGATTTTACGAGGCTAACATGTTCTTATTGTGGGGCTCGCCTTGAATCTTTTGATGAGGAGACACTCTCACTTTGTTGCGTAGCTTTGTGTACGTTCCTGCAAAGAGTGCCTAGTTTAGCTGCTCCATTGCTACAGAGAACTGTTGAGTTTTATAAAAAAAATTTCAAAAAAATTTTTCTTGAAGTTTTCACAAATTTAAAAATTGAAAGCCTCTGAAAATTTTTTAACTTTAGAACTCAGAAAAATCTTTTTATTTCCAACTTTAAGAACTAAAGTTTCTCCTCGTACTTTTAGTCAAAGATACATATGGAAGTGGCAACCAGTGATGGGAGAGTTCCAAAATTTTTCTGGAAACGGTTTCGGTTCTGAAACCGCTTTTTGAATTTGTCCGGTTCCAGTTCCGGTTCTGGAACCGGATTTTTAATTTTGGCGATTCCAGTTCCGGTTATGGAACAGGTTCTGGAACCGGCAACTCCTCCACATGGCTACCAAAGAAATGATCAAAATTTGGAAATCGTTTGTGCCTCAAAATTTTTTCTACCTAAAATATCCTCTTGATCACGACATTTAATAATTTTTAAGATTCCTCAAAAATTTTTAATTCCAAAATCTTTTTAAAAAAAAAATTTAAAAATTTCCAGCTTCTCTGCACAGCCCGTTTCATAGACATCCCACAATTTCCTTGGCACGAATCCAATATTTTCGTCCCAGGAAATGCCAAAAGTGCTGCCAAACAATTAATTCGTATTATTTTGCACCAATTATCTGGAAGTGGAATAGCTCTACAACTATTTAATTTACACATTCAAGCAGACGAATTATACTCTTTTTGGAGTAAAATAGCTCTTTCGCTTGTTGATTTTACCGAATTAAATCCTGTTGCTTTTTTACAAAATTTATTGGAGGTAAAATTTTTTGGGGAACAATTTTTTATCTACGGAAGAAATTTAAAATTATAATCAACTTCACGAAATTGATTTTTTTTAATTTATTTAGGCTCTTATGCATATGTAGTTTAATAATTCTCTCATTTAGCTACAGTATACATATGTAAAAATAAGTAGTGAAATTTGCTGAATTGAAATGGCGTTTAAATTATAATTATACTTTATGCCGCTCAGTCCTTACTGATCTAGACGTCTTTGGAGCGCTTGATAAAGAATTCTGGGTCTAAGCCCGGGGCTAACATTATATAAAATGCGTAAATGCTCTAATTAAAGCCCGGCTCTATTAGAAGCCCACATCTAATATAAGCCCACCAAAATTGACCCATTGAAAAATAGACGCCCAAGGCTTTAATTAGAGCATTTACAGTAATTTACAACAAAATTACTAATAAATATTTTCGAATTTTGGAAAATTTTTTAGCTAATTGCACCCACATTCCCCTAATTTTAAGCAAAAATAAATTTCAAAAATTTTTGAAGGATATAGCAGATGGCTGGCCAATTAAAGTAACCAGAATTCTGCACAATTTAGCAACTTATATCCAATATGTACCTACTGAAGCGCTTTCTAATTGGGCAGCGGTAGTGGCTTTAATTGACGGCCTTTATAGGCGAATGCATACACAAGTCTGGAAATTTCCAGGAATTTAAAAATTTCAAAAAAAATTTTTTCAGCTTGTAAGTGAAGCTACTTCCAATTTAGCTGCAGTCTCGAATGCAGCACAGTCTGTCCAAAACCAATTTATTAATAATCAACAGAAGCAGTTCAGGTCTGAACTGGCTAGTTCAGGCGAGTTTAGATTAATTTATTGTCTTAATAAAATTCTGAAAAATCAGAAAAATTCTGAAAGAAATTATGAAAAAAATTCTGAAAAAAATCAGAAAAATTCTGAAAAAAATCAGAAAAATTCTGAAAAAAATTCTGAAAAAATTCCAAAATTCTGAAAAAATCAGAAAATTTTCTGAAAAAATTCTGAAAAAAAAACAGAAAAATTCTGAAAAAAATTCTGAAAAAAATCAGAAAAATTCTGAAAAAAATTCTGAAAAAATTCCAAAATTCTGAAAAAAATCAGAAAATTTTCTGAAAAAATTCTGAAAAAAAATCAGAAGAATTCTGAAAAAATCAGAAAAATTTCTGAAAAAATTCCAAAAACAAATCAGAAAAATTCTGAAAAAAATCAGAAAAAATCAGAAAATTGATCAGAATTTTTATAGTACTAATTATGAGTCGAGTTCTTCGTGTACAAGGCCTCGCAACGATCAAAGGTGCTGTACAGGCAATTGAAGCCTTTGCTAAGTGGCTCGTAGAAATGCTGCATAAATGTCCTGTCGAGTTGTGTGATTTGTTAGTTGATTTTATAAAAAAATATTTTAGCAAATCTAAATATTTAGATTGGCTGTATGCACTGCCTGCAATCGGGTAAACAGAGTTATATATAATCGAGAGGTTCCATTTCCTCTCATTTCGTGAGTGGGAGGGGTCTTTTGGGTTACCAGCTCTTCAGCACTCCTTAGTTACCTCCTTGCCAAATCCTGAATAACTAACTCAATTCTAAAATCAAATATCAATTTAGGGTTCGAATCCATTTCTTCTCATTTCGAGAGTGGGAGGGATCCTGAGAGTGGGGAGGAAAACCGTCGAGAGTTGGAGGGATACCGTCCAATCCATATTAAGCTAATATTAGATTCGAGATTAACCCGAATCGACATTTCTTCCAAGTTTATTAACATAGCTTCACCCAACAAATATTTTTTCATACCCTTAGGGCATGATCCGCGAACGTGATAAACAAATCCTTACACGCTCCGTTGTTGCTGAACTTCTTTCAGCTTTAAAATTTAAATGTGAATTGGCAGAAGAAAATTACTTGACTATTGTGCGAATGGTTTTGCAAGACTTTGGAGAGCCTTTAGGCGATGACTGGATTTATACACCAAATTCTGGCGGTGAAAATGAGGAAGTAAATGAAAACCAAAATAATCGGAAATTTTCTTCATTTTCCTATTGGAAAAATAATTCTCAGCAACAACAAACAGACCAATTTAATACTGGAGCAGCTGAAGCTATAAGGCCACATGTACCCGAATTGTTAGAATTTATTTCTGATATGCATGTATTGGCTAAATTGAAGGTAGAAAAAGAGATATAGTTAAGGATTTAGTTAGTTGACCCCTTCACCTTTCAATGTTCCTTTCACCTTACTTGTGGTTGTTACATTCATTGCATTATGTTCTATACTCATTAATGAGTTCCCTTCACCCTACTATTGACTACCACCCTCATCCTATCTTTAAATTCCCCCAATGTCACCTTCACCCTACCTTTGAATGTCCCCAACGTCACCTCACTCTACTTTTAAATACTCGCAATGCCACCCTCATCCTATCTTTGAATGACCCAATGTACCTTCACCCTACCTTTCAATGTCCTCTTCATCCCATCCTGTACTGTTCCTCTTAGCTTTACTTTTGAATATTCCTTTCAATCACAAAGGACTTTTCTTGCCCGTTATCAGAGGTTCGATTGCAACGCTCGTTACCGAGCTTTCCAAATTTTAAAATTACCAATAAAGTCAGAAGCATTGTAAACACTTTAAATATAAAAATTCTTCTTTAGAAGCAATCCGCTAGCAACAGCGACAGAGTTGGAGGAGATTTAAAAGCTGGACTAGCAGAAGTTGTTGCGCTTGAAATGAGTCGACCATCTGTTCGGGATTCTCGAACCGTAAGAGAAAATAAAATTTAAAAAATTCTCTCAATCTAAAGGTTATGCGATTCATTCCTTGGCTTTATTCCCCTCCATCACTTGCCCAAGCCCTTCCAGGCCAATTTTCAGAATCTGTAGCTAACGTTCGCGTTCTCGCCTGGATTCTACTTGGTTCTCTTCATGCTAGAGGAGTAAATGGATTTTCTTCGAATTTCCAACAATTTCAACAGCAACAACAAACAAATATTAACCAAAATATTTGTCTACCTGTACCTATTGCTTGTTCTAGTCAAATGGCGGATTATATTAATTTTGTGTTAGCAGGGTTTGCTGATCAGTCTAAGGTGTTTTATCAAAATATTTTTTAGTAAATTAGGGGTTTTCTAAAGTTGAGAATCTTTCCCCGAATTTCTGAATTTGTTACATATTCTCTAGATAATAGAGATCAGTCGGGGTCTGAACCAAAGCCTGGGTTTTTCCTTTACGCAAAGTCAAGGCCCAGCCATTTTTTTACCTTCCTTGGTCTTTCCTGGACTACAGGCCCAGGATCCGACCTAGGTCAATATATTAAACACGAAAACTAGGATCAGGCCCAGGCTTTTCATTCTACTAGATGACAGTTTTTGACTAAAACAAAGCCTTTTTCCTCAATGCTTTTTGGTCAGCTCAGTTTCAAGTAACTTGATGACTTAGATTACTGTAGTTTCTCTCACTCACTCACTAATAATAATCTATCTCAGTCATTTATTCTTATCCCTTTTTTATTCAAAAATAAATATTAAAAATGCAATAGACTTGTAAAATTCCATGAGCTAGTCCATGGATGAACTCCATGGCTGACGCTCATTATAACGACGACTTCCCCTAACCTAATTTTTAAAAATTTCCAGCAATCAGTTGTTCATATGTCTGCCCTCTTTCATGCCTTCCATTTATGCCAGTTATGGACTATTTATTGCGAACAAACAGCTACTTCGAGTCGTTCAGAAGAGATGGTAGCTAAAACCATGCAGCAACTTTTAGACTTTTGGGCGCGTGTTACTCCAGCAATCTTACAATTACTGTCACATTCTAAAGTGGTAATAAATAGATTTTTTGAGTCTTTAACTCTCTTGATATGAATGGCTTTCTTTATGAACGTTCGGGATCTAGCCGGGATTTTGATATAGTCGACGGGCATAAGCACATAGCTTATCAAGTAGAGAAATGTACATACAATAGTGACGAATGGAGTCGGGATTTTGGCTCCATTCGGGATTTTAGAGAAAAAGTCTGGATCCGGGATTTTGTAATGGTGATTAGTGATTGACCAAAATCGAGATTCATCTGTCGGTCTCGGGATTTAAAAATCGCATCGGGGTTCGATATACCGCTGAACTCTACGAAATAATGTGATTAACGTCTACCTTCTCCTACTACTTAGAGTGAATAAGTGATGGAAGGATAGGTTGTCAGATCAGTCTAATTGTGAAATATTAACGAAAAACAAAAAAGTAAAGGGTCTACAATGAATCTTTGTTTCCCTAGTAGAAGTATCTTTTGATCAAATTATTAAAAGTAATTATAAGTTGGCTGATATGGTCAATCTCCATTTTGTAAACACCCTCCAAGCCCTACAACAATTTAATTCTGCTGTACTCTGTCAACTTTACCCAATGTGGGAGCCCGTTTTAACGGTACAACATGCACACGTTCCGCGCAAGTTGCGACTTAAATTTGAATCTGTTGAGGCTCAGGCATGTTTCTTCTTCGAAAACTTTAAGAAAAAATTTTTTTTATTTTAGGTGCCTTTGGAAAATGCCCAAATGCGTTCTTGGCTTAGCAAAGTTCGCTATAAAATTTCCCAAATTGAATTACAAACGAGTGCTTCTTCCCCATTCTATAATGTTTAATTTTGTTTGAGAATCTCATATATTTACAGGGTGCGGCAAAAGTTCCCGTACTTTTCTTAAGCATAAAATTTACTTCAAATATTTTCTTAAATTTTATAAAATCTATGAAAATGTGATCATGAAAATGTAAAGAAACGAAAAATTATAACAAATCTTCGAAATGTCCCCCCTCCACCAAGATACACGCGTCCAAACACTTACTGCTGTTGCTCACTATGGTCGCGCAATCAACCACAGTAATTGAGTCCCAGCTCAGTTGCAATTCCCTTTAATTGCCTCGGTTTATGTAAATCATATCCGTGAAAGTCTCTGCTTCAATCATAAACAAACTGTGTGTCCATAGCGTTCATATCTGTGGAGTTACTTGGCCGAATGTCTTTGCCCCAAAAACCTGGAAACAACTCTTCGTAGAGGCCAATCATTGTTTTTGCCCAATGTCAAGGGGCCCAATTTTGCTGCAACATAAAATTGGTTTTACCAAAGTGTTACTGTGCCCAGGGATGCAATGGCAAAAATCCCGGCCAACACCATTGTTGCTGTGCCCAGGGATCCATTGTTGCTGTGGCCATGGATTCATTGGCACAAATCCCGGCCCACACCATTACAGATTGTGAAAAGTGGCTCTTCTGAACAATTCTGGAAGCAAGGACTTTCCTAGGAAGCAATTCCCTATGATTTCGTCTGTTGTGAAAGACGGGATTGCAACTGGGCTTGGATTCAATTATTGTGGATGAGTGCGCGACCATAGTGGGCAAGTTCAGTTAGCGTTTGGACGCGTATATCTTCGCGGAAAGAGGACATTTTGGAAATATGTTATAATCTTTCATTCCTTAGATATTAATGAACACTTTTTCATAAAAATTATAAAAGTTAAGAAAATATTTGAAAAAAATTTTATGCTTAACAAAAGTACGGGAACTTTTGCCGCACCCTGTATATTAAAAAATTTTATTCAGTGTGATTTTTAATTAAAAAAATGTATGTAATTGTAGTGAAAATTTAAATGATTTCCACGTATAAACTCATCTTCACGTGTAAAATTAATTTAATCAAAAATTAATTTTCAGCTAATTTAGTTAATTTATTCATTCCGGTAAGTCAAATGAAAATTAAATTACTATCAATATTAGAGATGAATTTCAGCTAATCTAATTAACTTATTCTTTTTCTGAGAGGCATACCAAAATTAACCAAGCAAAATTAATCAAAAATTGATATACGTGGCTTACTTAGCGTAAACCATTGTAGGCATGTGCGTCATAGCTTTTTGGCGTGAATTTTGGCCGACTGTTACCAAATTAAATTAATATTAGATTCAACTCATTTTTTATTAGAAAAGTTAATAATATTTTTTAGATAGATGAATTCTATTCTGTTGACGTTCCAAAATTCTCAAAATTTTCGCCTGCGATGCTTAAACCCCGTTTTCCGTTGATTTTTGGTATTTTGAGATTAGGAGAGATATTGGGTGACTTAGGGATATCCCCCAGATTACCTTTATATTTCAAACTGTGGATGCGTTTGCTTGATTTTAAAATTTAAATTGCGAGTAGCGGCTGCTGAAAATTTTTTCCGATTGCATCCTCCCCTGATCCGGATCTGAAATTTTAGATTTAGATAAAGTAAAGCAGCTGGGCTATAGCTATTTCTCTCATTTAGCTAGTGCAAATGGTTATTCGGCGGCTGGGAGCGAACCAGCATCTTCAGTAGACCGGACTGATGTGTTAGCCATTACACCACGCCGCCTACTGCTCAGCCTTAGGAAATTAATAGCTATATGCTTTACAATAACAGATCTGGCTAACTGACATTTCCCAAGATATACCAACCATACTTACAACCAACAAATGTGATTTCAAAAGATCGGAAAAAAATAATGTATAATTTTTCCGTAATTTTCCTTCATTTTCCGATATCCTCCTTAATCCCTCTAAATCCTCTGATCTCCCAGATTACGTGATTAAGCATATCAATGATGTTGAAAATTGATTAAAGCTTCGAATTTATGTATTTATCAAGCTGTAATTTAACCGATCGCCCTATTTTCCCCTTTTTTGCACTTTCGCCTTTCATCTTTCAAGTTTCGCTTTTTAAAATCTGTTTCTGCACACCGCAGATACCTTATTTGATTTTTATTTTAAATATCTTAGAATATTATCCGGCAGAATAATTATAAATCGAGGTAAAAATATTTTTTAATTTTTTTGCATAAACTAATAATATAATATATAAAATTAAAATAATAATAAAAAAAACAATGCAGCAAGCTCTCTTAATGTGTGTCGTAGGTTTATTTGGCTGTAGTGTACTGTTGGTAAAATTTCGGTACGTGACTACGCCATTCTATTATTCTCGACGAGCTGAGTCAACGGTACCACTCACTACTTTAGGAAATGAATTTTATAGGCCCCGAAATATTGAAAAACCATTTGGGGAGTTTGTTCGATTTTGGGGTGAAAAATTAGAATGTGAAACAATACATAACTCGTTCAAAAGAGCTCCACGAGCTGAATTGATTTGATAAGGTTATGCTTGTTTGTGCCTCGCCAACGCCCGATTGAATGCCCGTTTTTTTCTTATTGCTTCAGAATTTACCTAATTAATTATTAGTTTCATCATCACTAGAATTACTATTACCAGAATAGTTTACTTCCATTAAAATTTTGTTAATTGGGCATAAATAAAGGAAAAACAGTATAATATAAAAAATATCAGTTTATTAATCTTAGGTAAATAAATAAAAATTGGGTTTCTAATTTTGGGTGGGCTCTTTTTAACAGGGGCACTATTTCTGGGGTGGGGGCTTTATTTCGAAAATACGGTAGTCTTTCTAACAGAAGCATGCGGATTAACGAACTTAAAATTTAATTGTTATATCAATGCGATCATGCAGTCTAATGAATACACATATTTTTACTCAATATTATCAAACAAGCAATTTTACAAAATATTAATAAAAACAACTTGAAGGGAACGCAAGGAAAAATTACTGCCGCATTTGCTGCATTATCAAACATTTATGAAAGTAATAAGTATGAATTTCTGAAGATGAATGAATTTTTGGCAATGAATTAATTTGTAAATATTTTAGAAATTAATTCATTACCAAAAAATCATTCATCTTCAGAAATTCATACTTATTACTTCCATAAATGTTTGACTTTTTCAAAATTCATAACATTATATAAATCATAACATTATCTAAATCCATCTTTTCAACAATATCATCATCGAATTGAAACCACGCATAATCTTTTCCATATTTTTGAATTTTTTTGGTTCTTGAAATTAGATGTCCACTATCTGGAGTTCCCATATGTATCTTTAAAAACACAAAATATTTTTATATTTTTAATTTTATTATTCTTATTAAAATAGAATGAGGGTAATACCAATTCTGGATTCCAATTTTTTCTTACTTAAGAATGATATAAAGTTCAATCCATCTTTCTTATTTAATTTCGTTATATTTCCGTGTTCTTATTCTTAAGTAAAAAATAGGGGAGGAGCCAGCCTTGTTATTGCCAAAGTGAGTTTTATTTACAAAGATATTATTATCAACTTACAACTATCGAATATAATTCATAAGCATTATTTTTTGAAAAAGTGAGATTGATAAAGAAAAACAATATGATAAAAGAACAGTTAGATTTCCACACAGCTTGGATATTCAAAGTTTTAGTCATCCTGATGCTTTTTCAAAAAATAATGCTTATGAATTATATTCGATAGTTGTAAGTTGATAATAATATCTTTGTAAATAAAACTCACTTTGGCAATAACAAGGCTGGCTCCTCCCCTATTTTTTACTTAAGAATAAGAACACGGAAATATAACGAAATTAAATAAGAAAGATGGATTGAACTTTATATCATTCTTAAGTAAGAAAAAATTGGAATCCAGAATTGGTATTACCCTCATTCTATTTTAATAAGAATAATAAAATTAAAAATATAAAAATATTTTGTGTTTTTAAAGATACATATGGGAACTCCAGATAGTGGACATCTAATTTCAAGAACCAAAAAAATTCAAAAATATGGAAAAGATTATGCGTGGTTTCAATTCGATGATGATATTGTTGAAAAGATGGATTTAGATAATGTTATGAATTTTGAAAAAGTCAAACATTTATGGAAGTAATAAGTATGAATTTCTGAAGATGAATGATTTTTTGGTAATGAATTAATTTCTAAAATATTTACAAATTAATTCATTGCCAAAAATTCATTCATCTTCAGAAATTCATACTTATTACTGCCATAAATGTTTGATAATGCAGCAAATGCGGCAGTAATTTTTCCTTGCGTTCCCTTCAAGTTGTTTTTATTAATATTTTGTAAAATTGCTTATGTTTGATAATATTGAATAAAAATATGTGTATTCATTAGACTCTGCATGCTTCTGTTAGAAAGACAATACCGTATTTTCGAAATAAAGCCCCCACCCCAGAAATAGTGCCCCTGTTAAAAAGAGCCCACCCAAAATTAGAAACCCAATTTTTATTTATTTACCTAAGATTAATAAACTGATATTTTTTATATTATACTGTTTTTCCTTTATTTATGCCCAATTAATAAAATTTTAATGGAAGTAAACTATTCTGGTAATAGTAATTCTAGTGATGATGAAACTAAGAATTAATTAGGTAAATTCTGAAGCAATAAGAAAAAAACGGGCATTCAATCGGGCGTTGGCGAGGCACAAACCTATGGGAAACAAACAAGCATAACCTTATCAAATCAAAAAAACAAACAAGCATAACCTTATCAAATCAAGTCAGCTCGTAGAGCTCTTTTGAACGAGTTATGTATTGTTTGCACATTCTAATTTTTCACCCCAAAATCGAACAAACTCCCCAAATGGTTTTTCAATATTTCGGGACCTATAAAATTAATTTCCTAAAGTAGTGAGTGGTACCGTTGACTCAGCTTGTCGAGAATAATAGAATGGCGTATGTCACGTACCTAAATTTACCAACAGTACACTACAGCCAAATAAACCTAAGATACATATTAAGAGACCCCAGTAATAAATACCCTCCGATTTGTTGAATTTTTTGTTAAGTGGTTTACATATTTTTACGGGAGTCATGGGTTCGAACCCTTTCGGGTAAAAATATTTTTTTTAATTTTAGTTGAAAAGTTTCCAAAGCCACACCCTCCATCTAAAACACCCCAATTATAAGATAACCACTTTTTTAGTCCCAGGGGATCCCCTAACCCCCCCCCTCCCCCAGGGGGTCCCCGAACTATAGTGTAATTTAAGTATAATATTAATCCTCGTTTTTAAATGAAAAAAAGTAAAATCTCTATCATCTTGATCTTTCCTCGATGAAGTGGAGCACAATTATAACCAGCAATCATTAATTGTGAAACAATCATCAGCCTTTTCTTGTTTTACAACATATTTACAAACAACACTACCACCAACCTTTAAAAATTTGAAAATAAATTAATAAGAAATTGAAAACAGTCGAACTTCAATAGTAAATGTATCCTTGGGTCCGAAAATTGTCCTTATAATGAGGCGTAGCCCAAATAGAATATTATCTCTTAAGGAGCACCCCCACCAATTCAGATGCCAATAAAACTCAAAAAAAAGCTACTCTTAAATAGAGAGGTGTGTCTAATAAGGTTGGCGGATAGTTGGAAATCTTCGGATATCCGGATCCGGTATCCGAACCGAAAAGTTCAGACATCATTTTTTCGGATCCGGATCCGCCTACCTTAGTGTCTAATACATATTTGGTGTATCTTATAACGAGGTTTGATTATATACTTACAACAGTTTCCACAGGTCTTTCCAAAACCATCCTTGCCAAAGCTTCCATTGTTTTAGGAAAAGTAGCTGAGAAAAGAACTGTTTGTCTATCAGGACGTACACATATTACGTACATACCTAGAAAATTTAATTTTTGAGAAATTATAAAGAGCAAAATGGTCAAAATCAATGAACCTGAGCTCCCTGTCGTTACAGAATTATTTAAAAAAAATTGTGAAATTTGGTTAAGTGGGAAAGCTTTGGGTTCTTGAAGGAAAAAGTTGCAGGTTCGAACCCGCTCAGGGTAAAAATTTAATTTAATGAAGTTTAGCTGATTTATGGGGAAAATCTAAAAAAGTAATAAAACCATTATTAGCCGCAAGCATATCAATCATCCTTCCAGCTATATTTATTTGCTTCTTTCCATGTTTGTAAAGCAAGTTCTCTTGTTGGGGACATGAATAAAGCTTCAAAAGAAAAAATTTTATTTAATCAAAAAAATTTAAAAAAACCGATAGGTCCATCCATAGTCTCTAATGGTGGTCTAAACATTGGAATAAGAAAAGCCAAAGTTTTTCCACTTCCAGTTTTTGCAATTCCAATAACATCTCTTCCACTCATTATTGAAGGAATTGCTTGGATTGGATAGATGTAGGTTTTTGATAATTGTAACTAAAAATATTTAAAATAAATTTTTTTTGAGGGGGAGGTCTTTGATCCGCTTCGTGTAAAACTTTAATTTTTTAAATTTTTTTACCGAAGCGTCATTCATTTGTTAATGGAAATTTGTTTAAGTGGGAAATCTTTATTTTTATGGAGATTGAGGTCATGGGTTCGAACCCGCTCGTGGTACCCCATTATTTTTGTTGGTAATAAAAATTGTTGAATAGAGATTAGCTGAAAAATTTAATATTCAAAAGGCGAAAATTTGGGTAAAACCAAAATCTTAGTGTATGAGGATGAGGTTATAGGTTCGGACCCGCTCCGGATAAAACTTTATATTTTTATAGTGAAAATTAAATTCTAATAGATTCTGAGGATTAATTAAGAAAAGAAAAAAATAAAATTAAAACCTCTTTCCGAAATGGCCTAAAATACACTTTTGTGTGATCCGTTTGTGCCAACATTCTTCCTTTTACCAATAAACTTGAAGCAGTTTGTTCAACATCAAGTTCATTTTGTGCTTGTTCCTTTTCATCTTCAGGTTCGACAATATCTCCCTTATATTTGGCACTTTTAGAAACAGCTCCAATCACAACAACACGAGCTTTTTTGTTCTAGAAGAGCAAAAATTTTAGAAAATACCCAGAAAAATAAAAAAAACCTCTGCTCCCGTTCTAGCTTTTTGTGAAATTTCTGCCATGTAAGCGTCCGAAAGATCTTCATCTACAGATTTAATGCTGGGAGTATTACATAGTTGAGGTTGTGTCTATTCTATATTGAAATTTAAAAAAAGTTTAAAGGTTTTAATAGTATGAGTGATGTTGAAACGGTGGGGTACGATTCAGCGCGCACGATTAAACGCCAGTTATTAAAAATTAGGATTTTTCCTGAGTTCGGGTCCCAAATCCGGGTTTTTTCGATTTCCGGATTTTTTCCGGACCGGATTAATCGGGAAAAATCCGACCGGATCCAGTCCGGCGCCGGGCACTAATTTTTAATAACTGGCGCTGAAACGTGCGCGCTGAATCGTGTGCGCTGGATCGTGTCTAACCGATGTTGAAAGGAAAGATGGAAAGGAATGGGATTGGACGGGAGATGAAAATATTGGAATGAGCCGCGTTTTTCGACAAGACAGGACATGATACTAACAATAATTTCACAAAACAGTCGAAATTTTGGACTCGTTCAATAATCTAGAACTGACTAAACCCCGGGACCACGTTATGTTGAAACTTTAACAGCATTGGGTGATAGGATTATCGGTTCTTGAAATATCTCCTGATATCCGGAATCGAACCGAAGGACCAAAGCGGACCAAAGAATACCCCACCAACCAATTTTCCCCTTTAAAAAATATTTTTAAATTAAAAACCCTGTCAGCAGAATTAACAATTTCTCCATTATCAATTTCTTTTTCGTTTTTTTAACTCGAAAATTCCTTTTCTTTTTCATTTCGTTCTAGAATTTTTCAACTTCAACAACATTTTAATCTCTTTCTCGTGGTGATCTAGAACGACTTCTACTTCTTTTAGAGCCTCTATCTCTTCTCTTTTCATCTTTTTTTGATAAATGTGATTGCCCTTCTTCTCTTTCCCTGTCAGAATCTTGAGATTTAAATTTTGAAATTGTCATATTTTTTAAATATTTCTCAAAATTGATTTTAAAATAAAAACAAATTAAAAAAGCATAAATATGTAGATAGAAATCATAACTTTAAAAAAAAGAAAAAACAATAAAAAATGATAATTTTACAAAAATTGAAAGGAAATCTTAATTAATTCTCATGATTTGCTATATCAATCAATATTATTATAAAAATAAATTGCTTTACTCTAATCAAAGCTGCTTCTTGTACACTGGAGCCTTTTCAACAGTCTAAATTCATCTCATTATTTTGATATAATTGAACAGGTAGAAATTGGGGTAATTCCAAGGCTGGTCCCCCCCCCTTTTTTTCCTTTCTATTTTTTTCGATTTTTTAAACTTTTTATGGCAAATTACATATCATTCGAAAGAGCTCTTCGAGCTGAGTCGAACGGTACTAGATTCATCGAAATCCGACTTAAATAAACATAGCTATGAGCATTTGTTTTAATCCCTTTCAGCATCACAAAAAGAACGTCCTTCGAGGATTTAGCTTCATAAATCTGTTCAGATTCGCCAAATCTAACCGATCATAGTATCATTCTACTCAGCTCGAACAGCTCTTTCGAACGATATATTGAAAATTATATGCCAAGCAAAAAAACTCAAAATGGTCAGGGGAACAGAAAAAAAGGGGGGGGGACCAGCCTTGGAATTACCGAAATTGGTCGAAAAAACTGAGTCGAAAAGTTCGTCGATAATTGATGAGGAAAATAAATTATATTGATTCATATAAGAATCTGCACATTGTTTTATTGTTGTAAAATTGGTATAAATTGTTTTAATTGTAGATGGATAAGTAACCTTAAATTATAATAAAGTATCTTTTAGATTTTAACTATATTTTTAGAAAAGTAAATTTAAAAAATCATACTCTATTTATATCCAGGGATAATTTTTCAAGAAAATCATTTTGAAATTTGTATGCGTCATCGCATGTCATCCCATCATACCTCTCATGAACATATTCTTTTAAAATTTTCTAAAATAAATTTTAATTTTACATTACATTTTTAAATTATTTATTTTAAACATCTTTTACGTTTTATTATAATTTTTAGCAAAAATTTACAAATCGGCAAATAAAAGTTTAACAAAACGCAATTTTTGTATTTATTCGAAAAATTTTTAAATTTTAATAAAAACATATTCTAATAATAAAATAAATTATAATTTTTAGAAATTAATTCATTACCATAAATTCATTCATATTCAAATTTTGATATTTATTGCTTCCATAAATGTTGGATAATGCTGCAAATGCGGCAGTAAATCGGCTTTGTGTTCCCTTCAGATTATTTCTATTGATTTTTTGACGAATTCCTGACGTTTGGTAATATTGTGAAAAAAGTGTTTTCAGCAAACTTTGTAAAACTGCGTTGACATAACAATTGTTTTGTAAATTTGTTAATCCTGTTAATTCTATAAAAGAATAATACCGTATTTTCGAAAAAAAGCACCCCAGAAATAGAGCCCCACTTTTAAAAACAGCACAACCAAAAATAGAACCCCTTTTTTATCAAATTACCTAAAGTTAATAAACTTATTTTTTTATATTATGTTTTTCTTTTAGTTAAGTCCAATTAATAAAATTTAATGAAAGTAATGGAAGTTTCAGAAAACTAATTTAACAAATCTTATAAAAAATTTAATGGAAGAAATTTAATGGAAGTAATGGAAGTTTCAGAAAACTAATTTAACAAATCTTATACCAATTAAATAGATTCGGTACCGATACCGGAAGACTATTCTTCATTGAATATGCCATAGGAAAATAGAGCGAAATTGATTAAGGAAGAAATGCGAGTAGCATTTACAACTAAGGAAAGGAAATATTGCGGACAACGTTTGCGGAATTTGCGGGAAGATAATGCGATAGTACCAGAAAATGTTAGAAATAAATTGTATTTAAATCAATAAATTGTTTTTTTAATTGAGGCTGAAATAAAATAATAAAATAAAATTAATATGGCTAATAAATGAAATTGTAAATAAAATTCAAATTGAGCATTAAATATACATAAAATGGGACACGCCCAAGTAGGCGCACGGCCATGTAGGCGCAAAGCCATAACTACCTTGAAAATTTCTGTTCATTATCAACTTTGGTATCAATCTCTTTAGCTCGTTGAGAGGATTCGTTTAATACTAAATTTGTTAAGATTCGTAAATCTTGAAGCAAGTTATAGCTTTGCGCCTACTTGGCCGCGCGCCTACTTGGGCTGTACCCACATAAAATATATAAAACAATCAAAAAATTAATTTTTGAACGCTGAGTCTAATGGTACCACTCTCTATCTGATCAATTCCTACGAGCCGAGATTTAAGTTTTAAAAACCGAAAAACAATAAGGGGAGTTACATAATGCAGATATATTTTTCATACAACTCTAATACGTTGACTAGTTGAGATTGATGTGTTGTATGTAGTTAATCTGCTCTTTTTATACTTAATATCGATGAATGTATTCGCTGGAATTTTTTCAAATTTTTACCTATATTTTTACTATTGGTTCCCACTAGGGATCAATGCTTTAGAGTACACCCTAGAAATAGGGGTATCCATTTAGAGTTGAGAGAAAATGACGGGGTTGGAATTTTGGGGAAAATTTTTTCCATGAGAAGTACCTTAACATTGTGAATTTGATTATGAAAAGGGAAGTCAAAATTCCATGTCAAAATAATCACTTTTTAAAAATTTTCATACCCAGGGATCAGGGCTGTGCGCCAAAATTTTCTGGTGAAACGCCAAACGCTAAACGCCAATTTTTCAAACTTTTAAAACACGCCAAACGCAAAACGCCATGAGGCTCAGCCTTGCCAGGGATCATTACTTACATATTTCCATTAGTCTAATCGACAAGTGATATCTGTTTTGGCGCGACTAATCGATACGAATTGCTGCATTTCTATAAAAGCATTATTAAACAATTGAAAAATGCTTCTTTACTAATCGATGCATAATTTTGGAAAAGGGAAGTGAAAATGACATTTCTCTAAAAGCAGCAGACCGTTGGTCAGTTTTTCTTCGCATCTTTCATATGAGAGTGGCTTTATCGCAGGCGCTATGAGGAGCTATTATTTTCGCCCAGACAGTTTTTGTTCATCTCTGCTTGGATTGTTTTATATAGTCGTTGTCCCTATTATTTGTTTACTTCGTCTAGTTAATCAAATATTATCGGAAAATCATCTAGTTATTTTTGCAATTTTCACACATATAAATAAATATTAACTATAATAGATAAATTTATTTTTAAAAAAATGAGTGAAAATCTTCAAAATTCTATTGAAAATTTGTCAATTTGTTGTTCTTCTTGTTGTTCTTCACAATTAAAATGGGAGGAATGTTTAAAACGTATAGAACAATTAGAGGTAAATAATAGAATAAATTATTTCGTTCTATTAAAGCAGGAACCAACCTTACTATCGACAGTAATTTAGGTATTTATCAGTATTCCGTATCAGCAGACCGGTAAGAATGCGGTACTGTAAACTTTTGAATTTTTTGGTATTTCATGGTGTGACGGTATATAATACGGTAAGAAATTCCTTCACTAGTTGTCACTAATATGATTCCTCTTTATAGTCCCACAGTTTTTGGGGGCAAAGCTACAACTTGCTCGAAAATTTCCGGGACTTATCAATTTTGGTATCAATCTCGGCAATTGTTCCCCTCATTTTTCCTTTCTAAAAGTATTAAAAAATTGTCAGTCAGTCTTATGTTATAAAACTCGACGAGCATAGTCGGATGACACCAACCCTTGTCTAACCCTGTCTAACTTCTCTGCCTAAAGTTAGGACCAAGGGTTGATTTTGGTGTAATCCGACTCATCTCGCGAGTTCAATAATATAAGACTGACTGACCATTTTTTAATACTTCTAGGAAGGAAAAATGAGGGGGTATACAAACCGAACAATTACCTTAATCTCTTTAGTTCGATGAGAGAAATAGTCTAATAATAAATTTAATCTTTGAAGCCTTGAAGCAAGTTATGGCTTTGCGCCGTTATGGCCGCGCGCCTACTAGGACTGTACCCAGTTTTAACCTAATATTTTCGGCTTTTGGCTAACCTAATGGAACTAATAACACCCTAATTAACAAAAATCCTTTTTTAAAATGATTTTTAATAAATTTAGAAATTAAAAATAAGTGATCAAAAACAACAAGTTTATAATAAAGAAAAAATATTTCTCGATGAATACGTGAACCTTTCTAATAAATTTGATAAAATTAATACAGAATTGAAAGAATGTAAAGAAATTAAAGAATATTTGACAAAAACATCAGATGATTTAAAAGATAAAAATTTCCAGCTTGAATGTGAAAAATTACAATTTACAGAAAAGTTAGAAAATTCTAAAAAAATAATAAATCAACTTAAAATTGAAAATGGAGAAAATGAGGAGAAATTAAAGGAAAAAATCAAAGTAAAATCTTTATTTTTATAAAAAAATTTTGAAAGGTTTAAAAAAATATTACTAGGGTGTTAGAATAAATATCAGTTAAGTTTGGCATCTTATTTCAGCTTCTAAGCTTAAATACCGTACTCTTTGAATAACTACTCTTATATAATACCTTAGACTCTCCCGGCTGTTCCGCATAAATATGAGGTGTGCGGACATATCGGGATTGGGGTGACGAAACTAATCTCTTGCGTGTTTACGTTTGTTCTAAAACATAAAACTCTATTCCTAGGACAATATACTATTCAAGACCCAGTGGCCGTGGGTCCCGAAATCTGAAGGGTAACTGTTCGTACATTGAAATATCCCGATATGTCCGCGTGCAAATATGAATAGGAAGACTAATATGAAACGATTACTTGTGCTTAAAATTTGCAGATATTTTTTATAAAAATTAAACTAATTTTTTTATTTCCAAAATTTAGAAGCTTTCGGTAAACCTGGAAAAAGCTAATAAAGACATACATGATTTAAATTATGAAATTGGTTTTAGGGCTGGAAGGTATTTAGTAGCAAAGAAAGATTATGAAACTAAAATATCTCAACTTGAACAAGAAAAAATAAAAAACGAAGAGAATTTTGCTAAAGAAAAAGAAGTAAGCTTTAATTAGGGAGCAGGCCTGTTTACTGCGGCCCAATGTACCGCCGAGCTATAACTTTGTTCGAAATTGTCGAATCCGTGGCGCACTGGTATGGTTCGATTCAGCTGATCGAGCCGCATCAAACCATACCATGGCGCCACCGATTCGACAATTTCTAACAAAGTTATAGCTCGGTGGTACAATGGGCTCGCGGTACATTGGGGGTTACCCCTTTAATAAATAGCAAAAATTTAATTTTTTAACTTTTTAAGAAGCTTTTACTAAAGTTGGATGAAATAAATAATGAAATTATTAAATTTAAAGAAGAAAATGAACTGTTTAGAAAGGAAAATAAAAATAATTCTGAGTTTAAAAATGGAAAATAAAAAATGAATACACAGAAATTTCTTTGCTTACTTGTTTATTATTTAAAAAAATTAAATTTAAAATTTGACTTTTTTATCAATCGGTCGAAAATTCTGATTTTTGGAAATTTATGGACATTTCAATTCTCTATCTAATGATATCTTATCTAAGAAGTGACCATCTTTTCATGAATTATAAGTGGGTACCATAGCTGGGCGACAAAAAATTTTGCAGGCTCTACTCCAGCTTAAGAGTCCAATCGACTTTTATGCGTCCAATGAAAGTTTATGTGTCCAATAAAAAGAAAATCGGGTTTTTCTTGATATTGCAAAGTTGGGTTATGGTTCCACAACATTTTTCCATGTTCGGGACCTACGCCCACTACTGTATACTAATTTAATTCATTAAAAAGTGCATTTTATTAATTAATGTTAGATTGAATGATTCGTTTTTCGATCTATCTATATTTTAAAAGTTATCTATAAAATGGTTATGCCCCGATCAAAGACCAAGCATACTTCGTATTATTGTGGTGTATGGACGAGAGCTCTTAAATTAGTTGGTATAAAATAGACATGTCAGATAGTCATACTGTTCCATATATTATATACTTAAGTCAGTCTGAGATTTTTAGTGGTATACAACACAAAAAAATTTTTTATAACAAAATTGACATTTAAAAATTAAAAAAACTGTTAACGTTTCAGACATGTTTTTTTTCAAATTATTTTATTTAAATACCATTTAAATATCTATAGAAAAATAAAAAATAGAAAAAAGGTAAAAAAATTTGAAAGAAAAATAGCTGTCTAATTATGCTTATTGTGAATAAATTTAAAAATTTGTCAGGAAAAAAACTTTTATTTTTTTTATTTTTAAAAATAAATAATCAACTAATTTTTTAAAAAAATAAAAAAATTTTTTTAACTACTACTCAAGTACATATTTTTTTATATTTTTTTAAATTTAAGAATAGAATTATATGTTTGAACACTTATGTATTTAGTATAATTTGGGGGGGGGGGGCGTGGGGAATACAAAATTTTACATAGAATTAGAAATAATTAAAAAAATGTTCTTTAATAATTCTTTAAAAATTCTTCTTTAGGGTTTTTGAATATATTTTAATATTTTCATGATATTTTCAAATTTATTAAACATGAGCTTTGCTAACAGTTCGATTTAATTGATGATTAGCAGAGCTGTATCAAAAATAAAATATTTCCGTTAAATAAATTTATTTCTAGAGGATAAGAATCAAAATTACCCCAAAATGGCCTACGTTTATTTCTTTCGCCCTGACATTTACCACGAACGTTATAATTGCAGCGCCTATAATGTCACCGATATTCCACTAGAAAATCGGCAACACATTACCATTGGAGCGATATTTTTGTCTTGTGGGCTTTTTATGGAAGTAATTAATAAACAGAAAATTACCTAAAAATATTTTCTAGTTTCTCTATTTTCCCTGTATGATAGCTATTCGTAAGCATATGGACAGTACTTGCTTCAAATTTATGTTCTACATTTCTATAGCAGATATGTAATATTTTTTAACTATATAAAATTTATTTAAACATGAGCTTTGCTAACAGTACGATTTAAAGTGATGATTAGCAGAGCTGCATAAAAAAGAAGATTGAAAAGCTAAGGAAGAAATTTAAGGAAAGCTTTAATCCTAGTAAGTAAAATGAGTTGATAGCGATGAATATTAGCTAAGAGAATGTAAATGATTAGTCGGGCAGGCCATGTTCCTGGCTTTATTGCTCGGCGCTTTCACTCTCCACGTGCAGGGTCTTTAAAATTGAGATACTGTGTCGATGATTTCTCTCTCTCTCTTCTCTCCCTTGATAGATCCTAAATTTAATTGCTAGCAAACTATTATAAAAAACTTGAAGAAATAAATCTGAAAAAACATCAAAAAATATTCAGGATGTGTCTAGTAGTGAATGCTATAATTACTGGATGGCTGTCTATCGTAGGGGCTGTTTATTGTACATATCCTCGATTTATTTATTTTGCCGGTTCTGCTGGTTTAGGTAAGCTAACATCATTTAAATTTAATCGAAAAATTAAATTCAAGCTTTATGGGGATGTGAAACTGTAGCAGAGATGATCTTAGCAATAAATCGTTGCATAGAGCTCAGCTCTCGAACATGGGCAGAATTTCTTTTCCATGGAAAACGAACTTATATATGGATGGTTTTAATAATTCTTTGATTTTTAAGTAATAATTTCTTTTCAAAGATTGTTCCAACAATTTATGGACTTTGGTTTTTCATTTTTGAAATGCCCATTCATTTCAGTGGAATTTTTGTTTCATGGTTTTTTAATCCGCATGTTGGGTATTTGGATGATTTTGGGAAGAAGGTAAGGTTTAAATGCGGAAAGTAAAGCAAAATCCTGTTAGGATTTGATTTTTAGCCTGTTAGGTCGTAACAGATGCTCTGGATAGTGACCTTTCGGGTTTAACTGTATTATATATATTAGGGTGTACCATATATTCTGACATAGTGGGGAGGTTTATGAAGACCATACCAAAATGTCTACATATATCTTGCCTCTAAAAATCTCGCTCTCCTGGGGTATTAGAACATTTTAAGAGAACAAATTCAACAAATGAAACTCTCCTGGGTAACTTAAACTCTTTAAACATTTTACTTCCAAAATCTCAATGCCAAAGGGGGTTGATAAACTCGGTGGTTACGGTGCAAGTAAGTCCCCTTTAAAGTCTATCTTTCACTATCCCAAGAGTCCCCCTATTAACTACGTGAGATTAAGTCTTTCAAAACTCTAATTAATTTTTCCTTTAGTATTATAGCCATTTACATACAGTTCACAATTATTTTGTAATCGTAATGTTGAGTAGTACTTACTTTACTTTTGCTACAATTCTGAGTTTGAAAACTATGAAGCACAAAATCAGTACAAGTGCACAAACTAGTCGAGCGCAGAAAATGGTATTTCTTAATTTCCTTAACGTCCAAAAAATTTTCGTAGACTTTTGTCCAAGTTATTCTGATTAGTTCGATTAATGCAGTAGCAGCGGCTATTTATGTTTATATGCAATTTGCCCGAATAAGTGAAGTACTTATTCTGACTGGGCAGTTTACTTGGATGCTTGCGCATGGTAAGCATTGGGTATTGAAATTTGACTTTATGATGATGACGTAACAAAGTGTTCGGACGCGATGTCGGGAAAACATGGGATCTAGTTATCTAGTTGGATCTAGTCATATGACCTCTAGTTAACTTTATAAAAAGTCATGAAAGCTGAACTTAATACGTCATATCTATAGTAAAGTCCACCTGTGAAACCCCTATTTTCTAAAGAAACACTTTGGGGGACGTTTGAAAAATAGAGCAACTCTTTAGAAAGGCTTCCCCCTCCTTATGGTATGCATGAAAACAGAGCCAAATAGTGCTCTGTTTTGAGGCTCCAAACGAGGCTCCATTTTATAATTCAAAATTGAAAAATATTTGTCATCTTGCATTAATAAAATTTTCACGTAAAGGTATGCCTCCAGTGATTTATCTGGCTTTGAACAAAACTGTTCGTCGTGATGTTTACCGAATGTGTGTTAGAGTGATTCCCTGCGTCACACCGCCTCCCTTACATTCTTCAATGGCCAGTGTTGCTGGAGGACTACCTCCATCTAATACTAGAAATCGTGTTGGACCTTCTAGTAATGTTGGACCTTCGTTACATTGATCATAATATTTTTGGATGGATTTAAGAATTTAATTATTTCAATATCTAATTAAATTTATGACGTAAACATCTCGAAAAGTTTATTTTTAAAATAACCAGATTAAAAACATACTAACTAAATTTTAATACCGTATTCATTTATACTTTTTATAAAAACATGAAACTTTGAATATTATAATCTATGTTACTTTGATAAAAAAATTTTTACATCTTTCGAGTTTCCCTTTAGATATTTACTTACAGGAGCTTATATTACTTATTCATCCTTGTGCTTTTACGATCTAGAAAATAAGCTGTACATTGAGTTAGCTCAAAGAGAAACATGCCTTTTAAAAACCAGAATGGGGTGTGAGTAAGGTTGCCGTTTTCGATCCGAGCCAACACCGGCTTGTGAGGAATTTGTTACCCTAGTTGTGACACATTCCTCACCCTAGTTGTGAGGAATGTGTTACTACCATATAAGAAAATAAGCTATGTATTTTAAATGAAATATTAAATAATCTAATGACTTTGATTCAAGCAAATCCATCAATGTTAGTACAAACACTCTTTTCGTTTTCATCTCCAGACAATATAATCTATTTGTTAATTTTCAAAAAATAATTTTAGAAATATTTAATTACTCGTAATTCACGATTGTCCCATGTTGATAATTGGTTATCCAAAGCAAATAAATCCAATATTATATTTATGTCGTTGCGAAGTGCTTTAAATTTTACAAATTATTTGCCGGAAATTAAGTACAAGGATTTAAATTTATGTTTCGATAATTCATGTTTCTGTAACCTTGTAGATACTTATTGATATTTTCCGGAAAACTAGCATATGCTTAACTTAGTCTGATAAAAAGATTTTTATATATTTTAAACTTTCCGGAACATAATTTACGTTACCGCAATCTTGTAATATTTACTGATACTTTTCTAAGTTTTCAGAAATTTTCATTATCAGGGTTTTCGGAACATATAACTCAAGTTTCCGAAAAAATAAATAATATTACTATTTTCTGGGGGAATTTTTAAGTTTTCCGGAAATTTTATTTTTAGGTTTTAATTCTAGTTGCACATCAATTTAGGTTTTCCTGAAAATAATTCGTCCGGAAACCCTTGGTAATTATTATTTCGACTTATCTCTGGAGTGGGTAATTGATTGACGCGGGGTAACTAAAAAGTATTTTAGGAAGGCTAATTATAACTATTTTTAAGGAGATTTAACCTGGAGGTCGTAACTAATATACATATGCGTGTAATTATTTAAGTGAAGGTAATTAATAGAGTATAAACGGTATTACTGTTTTAAGAATTAATCCAAACTTATATAAGATGCCACAATTTTATTCTTCCCTCTAATCTTAATACAGTCAACTCCATTTTCGGATTCTATCCAGTCAAGAACGCAAGGGCCTCCGTCTAGCCAACGGCAACTTTTTTTAAATTAAAATAATTAATTTAATCAAAAACTAACAAAATAACGCATTCCTCAAGTGAAGATTTTGAATTATGGGCATACTCCTCAAAATTATTAATTTTGTCTATTATTTGTTTTAACAAATCAACAATTCGTTCAGATCGACATTTGATAAATTTAATAAAATTTAAGGAGTTAACAATCGAGAGAGTGCTTTGATTAGTCTCTCCAATTAATTTTTTGAAGCAACTATCATTCTGTATTAAATTTAAATCAAATAGGGTTCAAGTTTGAAGGAAATTCTATTTTCTGGAAAACTTATCTATTCATTATTAAAATCTCCGGAAATATTATTTATTTTTAAAGGGTTCCAAAAAATTTTAGCTTAATGTAACTTCTTTAAAATTATTAAAATTTCCGAAATTCATAAGTCTTCCGGATTTTTTAGTTATATTTAAGTTTTATTGTTTTAGTTTTAGTTTTATTTTCCGGAAAACCTACACCTCGGAATATGTTTTCCGGAAACAATATTTTTTAATTTTAAAATTTCCGGAAATGTTTTCTTAATTTTTAAGTTTTCCGCAATTTTTTATTTATTGTTAAGTTTTTCCGAAATTCATTATTTAATTTTCATTTTCGAGGCAATAAATGCTTGATAACAACCGGAAAAACTATTAGAATTATTTATTGTGATTTACATTGTGTAACTGCCATTCGTGAAAGTTATTATAATTCAAATAAATATAAGAGTTGTCAATAAGCATTTTTCGAAGGCTTTTAAGCTAAAAAATAATTTGAGAAATTAAATCTTATTTTAGTTCCATGCCTTCATTAACAGCACACAATGAGGGAATAATTTTTTATAAGTTTTGTTGTTGACGAATTTCTCTGATTTTTCAAGCAATTTTTGAATAATTTCTTCAAAATTATTTTGATTTTTAGCTAAATTTGTTTCAAAATCCGAAACAAATTTAAGAAAATTTTGAGAAAATGTCAAAGCTTTTATTGTTGTAGAATTAATTGAAAGACCATCAACTATTGGAACTTGTTTTGGAGAATTGTAGTAGTGAGAGACAATATGTAAAAAATCTGGTGGTCCTTCGTAGCGTAAAACACTCCTGTATATTTTTGATAAATTAAATTGCTTTTATCGAACAATTAATCAGTAATTATCCGCAAAATTGTTAATAGTGGACATGTCGTGACGGACATATCGGGATATTATAATGTACAAACGTTACATTACTGACTTCGGGACCTATGACCACGGGTCTTGGATAGTATATTGTCCTATGGAGGAATAGAGTTTTTATGTTGTAGAACAAACGTAAACACATTTTCTAAATTTTCGAAAATAAATTTCAAGTTTTCTGGAAACTACATATTTTATATAGTGATTCCGGAATAACACTTAAGTTTTCCGGAAAATATGCTCATAGCATTATATTATGTAAGCTTAACCCTTCCGGAAATAAGTTAATTTGTTGGGTAGCTTAAATAATTTCAATTCCGGAAAACTTACAAACTTAAGTTTCCGGAAATTAATTAATTTTACAGAAACACGTAATTATTTTATTCTTTTCCGGAAAACACAATATTAAATCAATTTAACTACCTAAATTGTCTAACCGGACAAATAATAATATCCGGAACAGTAATATTTTGTACTTTAGTAGTATACATCTGTATAGAATTGCGTTTGTCAATAAAACGGCTAACATAAATAGAAGAATGGTAAATGAATATTCCAATGCTGCCAAATAATACTATGGCTGAGAGAATTCTTTTGAATGAAATTTTTATTATTAAAATAATTTATTTAATTTAATTTATTTTAAGCCATAAAGCCATATTTTATAAATAAGCACTACATACTTTTCTTTAAATTAATTTTGGTTTCCGAAATTTTGTCTTATAATTCTTGAAGACTTCTTCGTTTTTAAGGTTCCGGAAAATATATTTTTAAGTTTTCCTTTTACGGAAATTTAGCACATAAATGAGTTATGTACAGGGTGCGTAAAAAGTTCCCGGAATTTTTTAAATTTCAATTATTGGGGTGAAACTTGATTATTACAACAAAATTCGTTCATAATCATATTTAGCACAATTTTTGGGTTCAGAAAACATTTAGTCTATAAAATATTTTCAGAGAATAGATGTCAAAAAGTTCTCTCAAGACTCCCCGAAAAATGTCGTTTTATGAAGCGCTTGGTGAAAGGTTGTTTCATGAATTTTGAGAAAAGGATATTTGGCCCAGTAACTCACCGGTTCTCAATCCAATGGATTTTCGGCCTGGTCTATGTTGGAGCAGAGACTCTCCTGAACACGATACACATCAACAGTGGCACTTAGGACGGTATTAGAATATTCCTGGGCATCAATAACAGAAGAGGGTTGCGCGACCATAGAAGGAATTTTTCGGAAGCGTTTGGATGCGTGTATCTCAGCGACCGGATCTCATTTTGAAAATTTGTTATGACCATTTAGGCACTACTGAAGAAAAGGGTGCTTTTTCTGCGGACTTTTTTTGCGGACTTTTCCTTTCTTTTAAATGTTTTACTTGTAGCAACTAACTGTCAAAGGTCCTCCCCCCTATTATTTTTCTTACCTAAGATTGTACATAAAGGTCTGATTTTCTTCTTCCTCTCCTTCCTCTATTTGCTCTGTGGCATATTCAAACAAGTGACATTGATAAAGAGAAGATTAATTTTATACATAGTCATACACTTATTTTTTGCCTTCGAAAACAATTTGAACCAAAAAAGAAATAAAATTGATTTGGTGTATAACATTATGAATTTTTGTGTAAAAACATTACATTCTTACTTATATTTAAAAATATTGAACAACTGAAAATAAAATGAACTCAATATTGAACAACTCAATTAATCTTCTCTTTATCAACAATGTCTCTTGTTTGAATATGCCAAGCTTAAATAGAGGAAAGAGAGGAAGGAGGAAATCTGACCATTTTGTACAATCTTAGGTAATAAAAATAATGGGGAGGGGACAAGGTTTGAAATTACCCGCATTTCTGTCCACAATCACATATTCT